CTGGACATTTTTTGTTTTGTTAGTTTTGTTTTTAATTTTGTCATTAATAGTACTAGGGCATTGCATTGTGAAAATTTCATAGATGTGCACAGTGTACTCTGAACAACTTCACTCCCTCCGTGATATTCCCTTATCTTCCTTCCTCCCCCCCTTTACAAACAGTATTTGGTGGGTTTCATTATGCTATCTTTACACACACACTTGTAATACACTTTGAACCTCTACACCTCCCCCTTCCCCTCTCACTGACTCTGCCCCACCCTGTAGTCCCCCTTTTACATTCATTGTGGACACATTTTTTTGGTAGGCATAGGTTTTCAGTTTTCTTAGGTGCATATTTAGATTTAGAAATGCTGGATAATATGGTAACTCCATGTTTAATACTTTTGAGTAACTGACAAACTGTTCCAAAGTGGCTGTACACTTTCACATTCCTCCCTACATGTGTGAAGGTTGTAATACTCATCTTCATCAGTACATATTACTGTCCATCTTTCTTATTACAGATATTTTAGTCAGTAGGAAGTGGTATCTCATTGTGGTTTTGATTTGCATCTTCCTAACGACTAAGGATGTTGAACATCTTTTCATATGCTCACTGGCCATTTGTCTACCTTCTTTGGAGAAATACCTGTTCAAACCCTTTGCCCATTTTTATTTGGATTATTTGTGTCTTTTTACCACTGAGTTGTAAGAGTTCTTTTTAAAAAAACATTTTATTTTAGTGTATGATATTTTTACAGGGGGTTCATTGTGACATTTCCATACATACATGTATCATACCCCAGTATTTTTTCCTCCATTATTCTCCCTCTGTAAGAGTGCTTTGATCAGTGAGGGAAATCTTCCCCAGAATCCCCTCCAAGCTATCTCCTACTTATATTTGGCCAGAATTGTGTTATATACCCATGGCCAACGCAGACACAAACCAAGGGAATGGGAGCATCATGATTGGTTTTTATTCACCTCATGGTGTAGGAGAGAGGTTCTTCCACTCAAGCACAAAGCTCAGCTGAGTTGAGTGGATATTTTACAAAAGGGGGTTCTGGTAGGAAGAAGAGAGTGGCTTTTGGTAGGCAACTCTACTAGCCAGAGTCCCAACCATAAACAAATAGCTGAGACAAAGTAAGAAAATTTGAGGAGGCTGCATTACAAACACACTTGGGGCTTAGTAGCTGTAAGATGTGACCACTCTAGGCTTGAAGAAACAGAGTAGAGAGTGAATTTATTGGGGCAGGCAGAGAATTGTGCTGGTGTACAATTATCTGACGTCTGGCTCAGGTTGTCTCTCACGCTGCCTTTTCTTGGGTGTGTTTTGGGCTATGTTTTTCATCTGATGTTTTGTCACTAATGATAAGACTTCTTTTTATCTTCTAAAATGTGCAGTCTACTGAGCTCATGTTTCTCCATTTATATTCTCGGTGCTGTAGTAGAATTCTACCTGGGTGCTTTTAAACTACCATTTCAATGGGATGGGGAGGGATGGGAGTTAAATAAATGTATTAAATCTGGTATTTTGAAGTGGAAACTCTCATCCTTTTCTATGCATATTTAAAAATATATAGCTGAAATCATTGTGTATGCAGTTGTGTAGTTCACTTTTTACATTTAAAGTATTATAAAAATGTTCCTCAGTACAATTACTCCTAAACATAATTTTGATGACTAATAGTTCATCACTTGAGTGCTTATACCATAATTTATTTTAGCAACTGTTGCAACATTAATCCCTCCCAACAAACCCCTCTATCACTGTTTCAGGTTTTTAAAATCCTCAACTATTGAAAATGAGACTCTAACAATCAACTTTCTTGTGCACAAACATTTGTCTGCAATTCAGATTATTTCCTCAGAATAGATTCTTATAAGTAGAATTGTTACATTAAAGTATTGGAGCATTCTAAGGCTTTAAAATATGATGGAAATTTTTTATAATCCAGGAAGGTTTTTGCCAATTTAGAATCTTACCAAAATTGTGTTGAAGTGTGTGTCTCTGCATTTTTATCAGCATTATGTATCATACTTTCACCTTTGCTAATTTTATTTATTTATTTTAATTTTTATTAGCATATTATAGTTGTATGGGGGGATACATTGTGACATTTGCATATGTGCTTACAATGTATCTTAATTAGATTCACCCCCTCCATCATTCTTCCTCATCCCTCCTCCCCCCTTCTTAGAACAATTTTGACAGGTTTCATTGTTCTATTCTCATACATAAATACAAAATACTTACACCATGTTCTCCCTCTTTCACCCATTCCCTATGCCCTCCCCTTTCACACTGGCACCCACCTCTGACAGGACCTCTTTCACTCTCCTTTCTTCATTGTTTTGAAGCATTTCTGTTAGCATAAGCTAGGTATAAGGGGGTTTCATTGAGACATTGCCATATACACCCAAACTGGTTCATCTCCTCCCTTATTCTCCCTTCTACCCCGTTTCTCATCTCAAGGTGACTTTCCCAGATTTCAGTGTTCCATGTTCCTACTTCTATAGAAAATACCTTTGCTGCTTGTACATGCAAAATGGCACCACATTGTTCACTTTGCATTTCTATGAGTACTAATTCTATTGATTTTCTTATTTCTTCTTTTTTCCCAGCCCTATCATCAAACTTTTGATGTTTGTTTATCATTTAGATAAAAATGATGTCATTACAATTTCAAATTATGTTCTCTTATTGTTAGTGAGATTAAGCAGATTTTCATAGGTTTAAAAGCCATTTCTGGAACCGGATGTGGTGGGGCACATGTAATCCTACCACTTAGGAGGCTAAAGCAGCAGTGTTGTGAGTTTGAGGCATCCTACATAGTGAATTTAAGGCCACCCTGTTCTACATGGTGAGACCTATCTCAAAAAAAAATGTTCATTTGTAGGATTTTTTTCCTATAAATTACACATTTATATTTTATGGCCTGTCTTTTGTTTGTTTGTTTGCTTGCTTGCTTGTTTTTGCCTCGTGCTTTCTAGGCAGGTGCTCTACCACTTGAGCCATGCCCTATCCCTTTTTGCTTTGGTTATTTTTGAGTGAGGGTCTTCTCATGCACTGGCTGGAATGGACTGCAATTCTCCTATTTATAGTTCCTGCATAGCTGGGATGACAGGCATGCGCCACCACTCCTAGTTTTTATTGGTTGAGATGGGGTCTCCTGAACTTTTTTCCTTGGCTGGGTCAAATCACAATCCTCCCAATCATTGCCTCCTGAGTAGCTAGGATTATAGGCACAAACCACCATGCTTGGTTCATGCCCAGTTTTTGCATCAAGTTGTAGGATTTTTGTTTGTTGCTGTTGCCCCATAGAAATTCTTTATAAAATAAATTAGTCTTTTTTGTGAATTGCTCAGTGTATTTCCAAACAGCTCTTTCAATTTAATATATATAGACCTGTGGCAAGACCCCCTCCTTTTCGTTGGCCTGGGGAGTGGTCTGCTGGTTAATATTCTCTCTACCTGGTTATCCTCAAAGATGGGTGCTTTAGCTCTAACTTGTTCTATTTTTACCTCCTAATTTACCCAAAAACAAACATAAATTCCACATCTAAGCTGTTTTGTTTTTTTTTTTTGCCTAAAACCTCATAGTTTCTTTTTCTTTTTTTTTTTTTTGGTGGCACTGGTGTTGAACTCAGGGCCTCGCATTTGCTAGGCAAGCATTCTACTACTTGAGCCATTCTGCTAATCCCAAAACTTTATAGTTTCTTATGAAGAAAGCACAATATACTATATGATCTACTTGAGTAAAATGCATTCTTGTTATTAACATGTCTACCTCTACTCCTTGGTAAATAAAAGCACTGGTCCTATTAGTCAAAGGTGTCATAATCTCTGACCTTGGCTGTTTTTCTTTATAAAGGGCCCAATACCTTCACCTGAGCCATTCTAGATGAGTGAGGTTCATAAGAATGCATATGGGTCAGTAGGTGGGAGTAGAAAGTGATGTGGGAAGGGGAGGTAGTAACAAAGATCCTCATTGGGGGTGAAGATACTTGTGTCCCTCCTCAGCAGAGGCAGTAATTGTCTCTCCTCATGAGTGGGGATTGGTGTTTAGCACAGTACAATGTGGATTTTGTGTTATGAACTCACAGGGTAAATATTTTCTTTCAGCTTGAGGTCATCCTAGGGTTAAATAGGCACAATTCTTTGCAATATTAACTTAAAAAGTTATGTGGGGTCAAGACTGGGACCAATGAACAAAGCATGGGAAGAGTGCTATCCCAGTCAGGGTGAGGAATTGTCTTTTAAACCTAGTACATTAACTTTCTATTGCTGTGTAATAAGTTACTCCAAAACTTAGCAGCTCAAAAAGAATTGTTTTTTATCTTGTAATTTCTATGGGTCAGAAATTTGGAGGCTGCTTACCTGGGTTCTGCTTTGTAGTCTCTTACAAGGTTCTGGGCTGCAGGATCTGCTTCTAAGATGACTCAAGCACAGTGCAATTAGCAGAAAGCCCCCATTTCTCATTGGCTATTAGCAGGACATCTTGGTTTCTCATTGGCTGTTGGCAGGAGGACTCAGTTTCTCACTTCCTAGCCAAGTGGACCTCTTCCTAGAGCACTTTGAGTGTCTTCATGACCAGGCTGGTGGGTTTCCCCAGAATGAGTGATCTGAAATAGAAAACAAGCAGAAAGAAGTCACATTGTTTTTTATGACCTAGTCTTAGAAGTCAAACACTATCATTTCCACCATTTTTTGTTCCTTAGAATTGAGTCACTAAGTCCAGTTGACACTTGAGGGAAGGGGAACTAAGCTCTATGTTGCTTAGAAATATCAAAAACCTGTAGACACATCTTAAAACCATCACACTTAGCATTCCTCAAAAACATTTGTCAAGGCATACTTTGAACTGTATTCTTATTTGAACTATATGTATCTATTCACTTCAGAAATATTTATTGTCTTATCTGAATCTCTATATATCATTTTTCCTATCCATTATTGGAAACTAGAGTCTTATAAAGAATGACATGCTCTTAACAGTGGTCTTTTTTCCTTCTCAGGTACTTGTTGGGTTTCTTCTGATTCTAGCTGCCATTGAGCTGGCCCTGGTGCTCACAGAAGACACAGGACAAGCTACAATCCCTCCTGTTAAATATACCAATCCGATTCTCTACCTGGGCACATGGGTAAGGTCTCTTACCACTTGCACCCTGTTTATCTTCTCTCTACCTATAGACATCTAAATGAAATATACTTTGGGGGATGAAATTAAGTCTAATTTCACCTGTCTTCTTCAAGAACTTATAGAAAAGTCAAGCTTGATTGTAAAGGGTGAAACTAATTTCAGCTTTCAATCTTTTGACCTCTAATTTTTAGAGCTTCTCTGATATTATGCCATCATATAGTCCCATCTCAGAATCACAGATGAGATGTAAGTGTCTTGATGTAAAAGAATTTTTTTGGGTCAGCATATTGGTGCATACCTTTAATCCCAGCTATGCAAGAGGAAGAGATCAGAGGCTTGTAGTTCAAGGCCCAGGCAAAAAAGTTATCAAGACCCTACCTCAACAAACAAGCTGGTTACGGTGGTACATGTTTATAATCCCGGGTACATGAGAGGTGGAGGAAAGATAATTGCAGTCAAGGCCAGCTCTTGCAAAAGTGCAAGACCCATCTAAAAACAAACTAAAGCAAAAGGGACCGGTGATGTAGGTCAAGTGGTAGAGCAATTGCCTAGCAAGTGCAAGGCCCTGAGTTCAAACCTCAGTAATGCCAAAAATAAAAAAGAAATTTTTACGTGTTGTAAATGTGATTTTTGATTGATTGGTGGCTAATCCATGGATTACTGAGTCTAGAGTTTTTTTTATAAACTTGATATTAGAAACTGATATTTCTCTTGCTGACATGTTTTTGGGGACCTATACAGTGTTTAAAAACAATTCAATTAATCACTATCATTTAAAAAGATGACACAAAACTATTGGATTTACAAACTTTCTTGAAAACTCAGAATATATGACAACTGTGGTCCTCTGTTCCCACGGGCAGTGGTCTGCTGACCCTGGGTGGCATCTGCTTCTGCAGAGTATGTGCTTAGCACAATCCTCACTCCTCTGCCTTGCCTTTACTCAATAATGTGTTCTGCTAAGCTCTTTTTTTTTGCCAGCCATGATAGAACAAGCAAAGAAGGATTTGGACTGTGGTGCAGTGGACCTGGCTTACAGAGCTGATTATGTATATCTCTTCCCAACCCTGCAGTTAGTGACAGGATGGAGTGAGAAGTCTACCACAGCCAGGAGTATTTACACCATGAAAATTGGCAACTGCTACCAATAGAGGCTTTTTCCTCCTCAGAATGCTACTAGCACAGCACTAGGTGTAGGCAACCAGAATGCCAACTAGGTGAGCCAATAAAAAAAGCAAGGTTTGGGATTTTGAGAATTAATTTCTTATTCCAATATTAGAAAATAGAGAAAAAGGAAAGCTTGCACCTAGTCATCAGAATCTGCCTTCTCAACTTAATACCTGCCTGAAATTAATTTCCTTGGGTCTTAAGAAGGTTTCTATACCTCCAAAAGGAACTCCACAAAAATGCACATAGTGACTCTTCCTACCTAAGTTTAGTGAATGGAAATGAGACAGTGGAGAGAGTTAGATAGCACCTGGGAGAAAATGTATAGTTTGACACTTGTTTATTTCTGCCTGGCCAGATAAGTTTCAACAATCCCCTCCTTCAGCTCTCCTTTCTTCCGGTGTTCTCTGACATCCTTCTCCCCGCCTGGGTTTGGTATGTGACACTGTTCTTCAGAATTTCATGTAACTTTCTCTCTAGATCCTGGTTTTGCTAATCCAACACAGCAGGCAGTGGTGTATACAGAAGAATTCTTGGTTCCTATCCCTCTTCTGGATTCTCTCAATTCTCTGTGGCACTTTCCAGTTTCAGACTCTGATCCGGGAGCTCCTACGGGTAAGGAGAAAAAGTGACCGAGGAGGTACTGCTGGGCAACTTCCAAGTCAGTGCAAATGCAATCAAATAATTTGAGACCCAGGACAGAACTGGATTGGGGGGTTGATAATAGTATTTACTCGTGAGCTCTGATATATATGGGCTGTTTAGACTTAATTTGGATTAAAGGTTCATTTTCTCTGTCTGTCCCCCTCAATAGGGTAACAATTCTAATCTGGTCTATTCCTGCCTGTTCTTCATCAACTATGGATTCCACATCCTGACCCTGATCCTTTCAGCCTTCTCAGAAACAAGTGACTCGTCACATGTGAGACTCGAAATCTGCATTGCATATATTATTTAGTTGGAGGATATCTTAACAAATGTAACTTTGAGATGTCTAGGTCTTACGGAGGTCCCATGAACCCAGAATAAGGTATCAGCTGAGCACCCCTAATCTGAAAATCTGAGATCCAAATTTCTCCAAACCTGAAACTTCCAAAAAAGTTTATCCATTACTGCAAACTCCAAAAAACAACCTTCAAAATTGAAAACACTTCCAATCCCAAGTATTTCAGATAAAGGATACTCAACTGTAGTGTAGAATATTTTATGTGAAAGCAAACAGATATAGCGATGAGCATATTGGAAATCCTGACCTGTATGTTCACCCAGAAACCTTCAGCCTTGCCAGTTAACTCATACATCTCTGCCAGAAAACCTGGTTATCGTTTTATTAGTGACTTTAGGGTTTCCAAGTATGTTGACCAACTGACTCAAGCATCATGTGTGGTTTCTAGTATAACATCACATCTATAAAAATCGGTTTCTAGTTTTAGAGTCCCATAGTGTTCCTGTTTCCAACTGATTAACTTTTAAGTTTTTTATGTCTTTCAGAGTCCTTCATCCACAGCATCATTTCTGAGTAGCATTACCTTTAGTTGGTATGACAGGTAGGAAATGCTTGGAATGTGTGTTTTCTCTATTCCTATCCCCTCACTCCTCTGAAATTGAAGGAAAGCTTAATTTACAAAATGCCTCCTGTGATTTCCATTTCTCTTCTACTTAGAGTAATTTCTCTTCTAATATATGTCAGTTTAATTCAGCCCCTTCATTGGGAAGATCAGGATGATGAGGAGAAGGTGGAAGGGAATTGCTCTTGGTAGCCTGGGAGTTCCATGGGAGAAAAGGAAGGAGGCAGCAGGACAGGAAAGGGGAAATGTAGGGGTAGGTAGTGTGGCAAAGGTTTGGAGGGTAAGGGATGAAACAGCTGTCCTGGGCTACCAGGGAGTCTGGAACAGGTATCCTTGGCCTTTGTAGTTTCATAGACTCCTTTGGCAGGCTGGTGAAATGCATGAATGCTTTCTCAGATAATGATTTGTGTGTCTGTTTGTTTGTTTGTTTTTGGCGGTACTGGGAATTGAACTTAGGGCCTTGTGCTTTCTAGGAAGGTGCTCTACCACTTGAGCTGCTCTGCCAGCCCTCAGATAATGTTTTAACTGCATAAAAGACACAGGACTGTAATGAAAATAAAATATATTGAAATATAGTTATCAAAAATACTTAAAAAGCAAATACTTAATGCATATACTTTTAAAGCAATGCATTAAGTAACAAGATCTAGTGATGGATCAAATAATGACCATAATTTTAAAGTAGTGAACAGCATAAGTTTGCCAGAAAAATATCTGTGATTTCTCCTGCTGACAAAGGTAGCATATTGTACTCATATAGGAGGAAAGGCTAGATTTCAGCCAGAAGCTATTACAAATAAAGATGTAATTTCTTTTTTATCTATGTTTGCAAACTCCAGCTTAGGGAGTCCTGTTTTAGGGGAGATAGCATAGAAGCAGCCTTAGGGTCTGCTCCATCTCCTCAAGGCATCATGGCGGTGCCCCTAGGAGATTCCAGAGTATATACAGGCTGCCAATGTTTGAGGAAGAAGGAGCAAAAGCAGTGGGAGGTGATGCTCTTTGGTGCTTAATTCAATAGGGTCATTTCCTTTCCCCTTGTTTTCTAACACATTCTGTTGTCCCTGCACTCTTCTCACTCCTCTGTCATGTTCAAAGGGCAAGGAGGTGGTGATAGTAGAACAGTGGAGAAGTCCCAACCTCTTGCCCCTCTATCCCACATCTGGGAAGCAGGTTTTGATAGAGGGAGAAAGGAGCCAGTCTCTAATGCAGCCCATAGAGTCTTAGCCTGTGGGTCATTCTTGTTCCAGCATGGTTCTGAAAGGTTACAAGAAACCTTTGGCACTTGATGATATCTGGGATGTTGATGAAGAGCTTAAAACAAAGTCAGTCATGAGCAGGTTTGGAGTATACATGGCAAGAGACCTACAGAAGGCCAAGCAGGCCTTCCAAAGACGGCAGCGGAAGAACTCCCAGTGGAACCCTGGAGCCACGCTACATGGCTTAAACAAGAACCAGAGTCAAAGCCAAGATGTCCTTGTCCTGGTAACTTTCCCATAAGTGTCTGTGTGATGTGCTGTATATATGTCTCAGGCAAGAAACAGTGTCAGGGTGATCTGATCTTACATTTTTACAGTACATTACCCTTTTTAGTGCATTTTACATTAGTAGTATTCACAATAGTAGTGATATCTTAGTGATGGATACAAGGAGATATGTACTATTTATCTCTCTTTTTGAGTTTTGAAATTTTCCATAATTTTAACAATTCCTTGGCACTATTAAAATTTGCACCTTGGCAGAAGTTGACATTAGCAGCTGATTTATTGATTCATTCACTAAAACTATTTATTGAGCACATTTGTATGTGTGGCACTGTTTTGAGCACTGGGTATGAGGAAGAAGCATGACAGAGTGCCCATCTTTAGACAGCAAGCAAATAAACGATAAGTCAATAAATATGTTGAGAATAATAAATGCTTACTTTAAAAAATAAAGCGAGCAAGGTACTGTGGCATGCTCCTGTACCCCCAGCTACTCAGGAGGCTGAGGCAAGAGGATCTCTTAAGCCCATAAGTTCAAAACCAGCTTGGGAAATATACAGAGACCTCCTTCTCGAAAAGAAAAGATGTTTGTGGATCTGAAGTGAAATGCTGCTTAAGACAGGGTACCAGGGAAGGCTTCCAAAAAAGGTAACATTTGAACAGAGACCCAAATAATGAGAATAGTCCATCCATGATACAGTCATAGGGAAGTGTACTCCAGTCAGAGACAGCAGGAATGTGAGGCTGACGGGGGGACATATTTGGCATGTTCACAGAGCTGGAAGGTCTCTGGAGCATCAGGAGAGAGGCTGAACATTGGGTGAGATGAGCTCAGGGAAGTAGACTGGGACTGAGCTGTGTAAGAGACTGGATTTTTTTTGAAGTCTGATGGAAAGCCAGTGGAAGGGGAGCAATGTGATTGGATTTATATTTTTAAATCCTTACTTGGGCTGCATCTACAAAGTGAATTGTCATGGAGCAACAGAAGTGGAAGCTGGAAAAAGGCTAGCTGTTATCCAGGCAAGAAAGACTGATCAGGTCGGACTTTGGTGAGAAAACTTAAAAGAGGATGTCATTGGCAGGAAAACTTGGACACTGATGCTGAAAAGCTTGAATTTGGGGCCATAGGAGACCAAAATATAGGAAAAAGAGGCTGGTGGAGTCATTATGGCCAGTGAATTAGTTTCCTAGCACTGCCATCACAAAGTACATAAACTGGAAGAGTAAAAACCACAGAGGACGGGGGTGCAGCTCAATAGCAAAGCACCCAATTCACATGTAGAAGGCCCTGGCTTCCATCCCCAGCACTACTCTTTCTGAAGTCTGGAGGGATGTTTCTTTACCCTCTTCTGCCTTCTAGTTTTTGCAAGAAATCCTGGGCATTCCTTGCCTGTACATGTGTTAGTCCAGTCTCCACCTCTGTGTCACATGGCCATCTTCTCTTCTGGTCATATTAGATTACAGCTTACCCTAAAGACCTCATCATATCTTTAATTATACCTCAAAGACCCTATTTCCAAATAAGGGCACACTTTAAGACACTAAAGGCTAGGACTTCAACATATCTTTTGGGGGGACACAAGTCAATTCGTAACATCCTCCAATGACCACCACAAGGAAAGAACAAAAAAGGTTTCTGAGCATCTATAATATATATTATCGTGAGCATATCCTTCACTCTCAAGATTGTCTCCTCCCCACTGAACTCCTTCAGAGTTTGTCTTCTGTTTTTATGGGTTGTTTTGTCTTTTGCAGTGCTAGGGATCAAACCCAGGGCTAGGCAAACACTCTACTATTGAGATACATCCCCAGCTCTTCTTTTGTTTTTTGATAGGGTCTTTCTATGTACCTGCTGGTTTTGAACTTGCTATGTAACCCAAGTTGGCATCAGACAAGTGCTGGGATGACAATGTACACCATATGCCCAGCTTTGTGTGGTATCCTTAATTAGCTTGGTTACCTGCTTTTCTAATTCAAAACAGATTACAATATCAGTTGCAAGAGAGAGAAAGAGGGACAAGAGAGTGGACAGTAATGAGGAGATGATGAGAAGATTAAAACCTATACAATGAAGCAACAGCACTCACAGGCTCTGGAATTGTTCAGGGCAGAAACAAAATCTTACACTACACAATTCTGTGTACATTGTTGTTGTTTTGCTCTGTACCCAGGAAGAAGCTAAAAAGAAAAAGGAGAAGTCTGACACCACAAAAGACTATCCCAAATCCTGGCTGTTGAAGACCCTCTTCAAAACTTTCCATATCTGGATCCTGAAATCATTCATCACAAAACTAGTGCATGACATCCTCATGTTTGTGGGTCCTCAGCTGCTGAAGTGAGTCCCCAGGCATTCGGTTGTCCTTTAAATGTCTCCTCTGCTACCTTCCTTTTTCTCTCTGCTACCTTCCTTTCTCCCTTTGTGTACAATTGCAAGAGTTTTCATTAAATTCCCATTTTTGAAAAACACTAATAATTTTCTTATGCCTCACAGTTTTGTATTAATGAAGAGTATGAGGCAGTTTTCAAGATCTAAGATGATATAGCCTCTCTGTTCCCCATATCCCTCATCTAATAGGAAGTCAGATACTTGTTAGACCTCTTTCTTGTTAAACAGAACTGCTATGATCTGAGTTACTTCCAAGAGGAGGGCAACACCCCAAAAGAATAAATAACTTCATTTCGCCACTGCCACAGCTTTTCCTTGGAGGTTCAGGCTAATCATGACAAGTCTTTGCAACCAGCCTCTCTCTGGAATGAACCATGACTTGCATTGTCTAGAAATTAATCAACCATGTCACACAACTTCTTTTTCTAGGGAGTGGGACAAGACAAGGCCAGAGCATTACAGTGGCAACTACGTGGAACATTTCTTTCATTACCCATTCTTTTGTTTTGTTTTGATTTTTCTTTTTTTGAGAGAGAAAGGATCTGGTTATATCACCCAAGCTAGGTTCAAATGCTCAGTCTTCCTGCCCCAGCCTCCTGAGTGCTGGATTATAGGCCTGTGCCATCACACCTGGCTATTATCCACCCTCACAGCCATGGTGAGCTTTTCCTTACCCATATAAGCTCTTGTTGCCCATTAGCAAGTAAAAGAAAGAGACCTGACAAGACTGTGCAGACTGAAATCTCCCAAAGACATTTGGCAATTCTGGTCATTTTTGTTACCTATGGTGTAAGTGTAGGGTTGTAGTTGGCTGTGCATGAGGAGAGTGAAGAGCCTGGAGACCTAATGGGCATGACTTACTTGGTTTTCTTTTGGCAGAACCCTCATAGCCTTTGTAAGTGACCAGAACACATATGTATGGGTTGGATATCTCTACGCCATCCTGTTGTTTGCTGTGACTCTCATCCAATCTCTCTGCCTTCAGTATTATTTTCAAAAGTGTTTCATACTGGGAATGAGTGTACGTACAACCGTTATGGCTTCTGTATATAAGAAGGTAAGCAATATGTCAGGGCTCTTCAAAGAAAATCCTCTTAGTAAACTTGAGTATTGCTGGGTATGGAGGTACATGCCAGTAATTCCAGAACTTGGGAGGCAGAGATAGGAGTATCTTGAGTTTTTTTCTTCTTCCTTTAAAATTTTTTTAATTATATTATTGTTTGGGGTGTACATTGTGACATTTATAAAAGTTGTAACAGTATATCATAGTTGAATTCACTTCCTCCACCATTCTCTTTTCTCCTCCTTCTCCCCCCATTCCTGGAATAGTTTCAACATGTCTCATTTTTCATGTTTTCATACATGAGTACATAATAGTTCCACTATATTCACCCTCCTTCACTTTTTCCTTATATCTTACCCCCTCCCACTGGTACTAACCCTCAGACAGGACCTGTTTTACATTCTGGTTCTGGATCTTGAGTTTGAGATTAGCTTGAGCAACATAGCAAGAGTCTCTCTCAAAAAAGGCAAGATTTCAATAAAATTAATATTTTAAAAACATGAGCATTTATTCCAAGATTGAGGATACTTTGATGGAAATGATAGCTGATCTCAATACTTAATTTTGATTAGGCATACAGACAGACTACTTTAGATGTTTCTCTGGAAATTAAAATATGAAAAGTATATTCACAGACATGGTAGAGGGGTGCGCCCTAGGGAGAAGCTGGCAAGTTGCTCACAATCTGCCTTTCTTTTTTTTTTTTTTCTCTTGTGGTACATGGGAATTGAACTCAGGGCTTCATGCATGCAAGGCAAACACTAAACCACTGAGCTATATCCCCAGGCCTACAATCTGCCTTTCATTCAGCCTTTGAGATTTAGATATCAGTTCACATTTTCCTGCCTCTTCTGACAAGGTGAAAAAGCCTTAGAGAAGAATGTTAAGTCAGAAAAGAAGCTGGCCAAGGGCTAAACTCTTAAAGCTACCAACATTTAAACCAAATACTAAGGACACACAATTCAGAGACCTGGGGAATCCATTTCAAATTAGTCTTACCTGTGAGACTAGAGTGCTCCTTGGGCCTGGACATCTTTTGCCTAGCAACTTCTTCTCTTTTTTCTTTTCTTCATGGTGCTTGGATCCAGGGCCTTGAGCCTGTTGGCAAGTGTTCTATCACTGAGCCTAGCAACTTCTCTTTCTAATCTTCAGTAGCTACCAAACCCTCTCCTGTCTGATATTCTCTGATTACTGAGTTTTGTATACTTGGGAGATTTTCCATTTCCTTAACATGATTTCCCTCATCTTCTCGCTGATACATGATTTTTTTTTTCTTTTGACAGTACTGGGGTTTGAACTCAGGGCCTACACCTTGAGCCACTCCACCAGCCCTTTTTCTTTCATGGGTTTGTTTTGATATAGGGTCTCGTGAACTATTTGCCCGGGCTGGCTTCAAATCGTGATCCTCCTGATCTCTGGTAGGATTACAGGTGTGAGCCATCTGCTCCCAGCTGATATATGATTTTTAAGGTTTAACTTTCTCATGGCAACTGCATTTTCTTATGTCCTAGATATCCTGGTGAAATCTAAGTTTGCCCCTTAAAATGAAAGTATAGTAGTTCTGATCAATAACTTAGGCCTAGATAATTTCAGTGGCTACAATCACGTAGCCAGTACTTGTCACCAGACAAAAGCTATGACCTTTCTATATTATTGAGATTTTGTTGGGAAAAGAAATATATAAGGCTGGGAATGTAGCTCAAGTGGTAGAGTGCCTACCTAGCAAGTGTGAGGCCCTGGGTTCAGTCCCCAGTACTGAAAAAAAATGTATAGTGATTACCTTGAAAGATAATTGGATTTTTAAAATTTTTGTTTTGCTTTTTCATACCTAAGGGGAATCATATCAGTGGGCTGATTCCTCTAGAACCTTGGTGTCTTAACATTTTAGGGAATTTCTCTAAAAGAGAACCAAGAATCCTGGTATGTTCCAAAGACTGTATTGGTGGGTTAGGATGACAGTAGAGCTTCTAAAAGGATGGAGGTGGGCATCTAGGACCACTCAGAACCCATACACAGTCTTTGTGGAAATTAGAAGGCTTTCCTTCTCCTGGAAATTTGCAGGCCATACCAGATGGTGCCTCGGTGAGCATAGAATAAGCTAGTTTCGGTGCTCTGATGCATTTGTGCAAAGTATTGTTATAAGAGACAGACCTGTGGGCATTCACCTTCTGATCTCTCTAACTTGAGAGTGATTGTGACTTCTTGCCTCCAAATCTTGCTCACAGTATTCTCTCAGAGTTCACAGTGAACTCTGGAGCTTTCTTTTCCATTCTAAAAATCTCTGTCCTTCTTGATAGTGCTTGCACCATCACTATAAGAATACAGCTGCAAATAAGATAACCACATCAAAATTCTTCAAGTCTAGAATCAATACATGCTGATTTCCTCTTTCCCTCCCTTCTTTTTCTTCTGTTCTTCAGTATTTGATTCCCTGAGGTGTGCAAATGGTATAGTAATGAAATGGGCAAATATTGCTCTTGTCCTTACAGAGTTTACATCTGGTAGAAAAATAGAAAAACAAAATAATTATAGTTCTTGTAATGAGGATAATGAAAGAGGTAAACACAGAATGCTATAGGTGTACACAGAAGGGATATCTATCCCAAAATTGAAAATCAGGGTAGACTTCTCAGAAATGGCATTTAAGCTGTTACCAAAGGATAAATGAGATTTTGGGGGCAAAGAAGTATGTGGGTAGATGGGGTTGGAAAAAGAAAGAACAGGAGGAAAAAGTGGTCAAGAATGAGAGAATACTATGAGTAAGATTTGGAGGCAAGAAGTCACAGTACCTTGGAGAAGTTGTGTCCATGTGAAGCTTATCCTTCCATTGTGTTCTTATTTCCTGAGTTCCTCTTCTATTCTTCAGTTATCCTTGGGCTTATCAATGGGTCCCATTCCAATCTTTATCTGTAGGCATTGACCTTATCCAATGTGGCCAGAAAGCAGTACACCATTGGAGAAACAGTGAACCTGATGTCTGTGGATGCTCAGAAACTCATGGATGTGTCCAACTACATGCATTTGGTGTGGTCAAGTGTTGTACAGATTGTCTTATCCCTCGTCTTCCTTTGGAGAGAGTTGGGACCCTCAGTCTTCGCAGGTTTTGGAGTGATGGTTCTCCTAGTCCCAATTAATGGAGTACTGGTCACTAAGAACAGAAGTATTCAGGTAAAGAAACAGTCATCTGGGATACATGCTTTCTCTAACGTCTAAAATCTTTAACTTTACTAATTCGTAGGAGTTTGGGCAAGGCATCCTAAATGTACTTGGCTTTCTCTATTTTCCACTTTCAGTTTTTGACTACTCTTAGGACTTATATACTCTATCTTCATTCATGGTGGAGGGAAGAGTCTGACTGGAGAGGGAAGGGCTGCCTTGGAAACCTTGTACATACTCTTCTACCCTGCTCTGCAGGGTTTCCCTCAAAACAGTGATTTTTTTTGCCTCTGCTTCTCTCCCATAGCAACATAAACCAACCACACAGAGCAGTCACATGAGTGACCCCAACTTTTGGCTTAAATCCTGGCCATCACTGAGTTACCACAGGTTTGACAAGGCTCCATGCAGACAGTCCTTAGTTCACCAGGCATCACAGGTTGAATGCGTGAGCTTGATAGTGTATGTGATATATTCATTCACTTGCTTTGCATTTATTTAGCTTCAAATAGTTGTTTTAAAAATATTTATTGCATACCTTACTTTTCCGAGAACACAGCAACAAATTATACAAGGCTCTTGTTCTTATGGATCTTATATTCTTCTCAGGGGTGGATAGTAAGGCAGTAGCAAAGAAGAAAAAATACCAGATCATGATAAGTACTGTACAGAGAACTAAATGTTCAATGATAGTGAGTTGGTAGAAGATGAAAAGAGTTCTTTGTGAGGAGATTACTTAAAACATGGTCTGAATGACACATCCTGGCTGTGAAGGAATTAGCCTTGGGAACCACAGGAGAAGAACAACCTGAGAAAAAAGTACACTCGGGAAAGGCTGGGAGCAGAAACAAGTTTGGCATTGTCAAGCATCAGAAAGCAGATGGGGATGGCAGGAGCAGAGTGGGCAAAGAGGAGAACTGGGGAGAGATAAAAGCCATCACTGGGCACCTCAAATTCTAGGTGACAACCACAAGTACCACTGAGGCCTAGCATCTGCAGCAAACCTGGATCCTTTCTCATGTAACTGTGTTTTGTTTTTTCCTGACAGTTCAGAAACATGAAGTGTAAAGACAAACGTTTAAAGCTCATGAATGAGGTCCTCAGTGGAATCAAGGTAAGAAGCCAAGAGGAGGCAGTCCTCTGTGCAAGGACAGAAGTCGTGACTGTCTTGGCCATCACAAACCCTAGTAGAGGTGTGGATTCCTGCTTCTTGGCCTGTGTGTGCCATGAATCCTGATTCGTCTACCCACAAGTTTCCTGTTTCCTCTTCAATACCTCCAAGACCCTCTTTTGAAACGTGATTTCTATTTATTTACCTTACATGGTTTATTTTGGTTTTACATTTTATTGGAGAAAATTTTAAGGATACACAAAAGTTGAGTGTTATACTGAGCTCATTACCCAACCCCAGTGTTATCAGACTGACCTAACTAGTTCATCTCCATACCCACTCCTCACTTCACACCTGCCAGAGTATTTTTAAAACAAATCTCAAATGTCTTGTCATTTTATTCATAAGTACTTTGTGTGTCTCTAAAAGGACTTCCTTTCTAACATAACCACAATACTGTTATTATACCTAAAAAATGAACAATCACCCTTGATGCCACCAAGTCCCCCCATTGCCTCATACTTCTCCTCCTTTTAAATGTTGGTTAATTTGAATAAAGCTGTAAAAAAAAAATGTCCACACATGGCATTTTGTGGCTAGTGCTTTTAATTTCTACCCTACCATCATGTTGAAGAAGCCACATTATCTTGTTTTCTGTATCTCTTATAAATTGGTGGTTAGATCTAGATATATGATTAGAATTAGATTTGATTTTGGGGGGCAGGGAGTCTACTTTTAAGTAGTGCTGTGTAGACAGCAGCAATGATGACTTCCAGTAGGTCTAGGCATTGTCAGCCCGTTGTTTGTGATCCTGGCAGTACATGAGGATCACCTGTGAAGTTTGTAAAACCCACTGGGGTTGAGGTTGCACTTCAAATAATTTGAATTGGACTTTCTGGTGTTGGGACCTAGGCATGTATATTTCTTAAAAGCTCCCTAGGTAATTCTAATAAGAAACCATGATTGTACAAATTTTATAATCTTTGCTTAGATGTTTATCATTATGTATTAACAAAAATTGAAATTTTTTGAAATTGATATTTTAATTTCATTATTCTTTTGGTTTTGACTACATGGATTAGGTGATTTTCTATAAAATAATTGATTATCTGGATTTCTATAAAGAATGCTGTAGTTTGTATGGGATAGGCAGGATAAATGCTTATTTTCCTCTACTTCCAAGCTTTTAAAATAATGCATTTCATCATTTAAAGGTGATCAATAAGTTCTTTCTTCAAATAATACTATTTTGAGTGAGTGGATTTTAACATTACCCTAAATTTCTTGAAAATGAAACTTTTAACTTCCTGATACTTCTCACCTGACAGCTCTGATAAATCTTTCTGCTACTGTGACAAAATTTGAAAACCAACTCCACCATTTGCTAGCTTACTGACTTTGGGAAAGTTATGTAGCTTCTCTCTACTTATTTCCTTACTGTTTAAATGGAGATAACAAGTACAAAAGAGAGGTGACTGGCTCATGATGGTTTGCCCAGAACTTTCCAGTTTTTAGCATGGATAGCCCTGCATCCTGGAAACTCCTGGGACAGTTTTGTTATAAAGATTAAGTAAGATGATGAATGTAAAATGCTTGTATATAACAGGTTGTCAAGAAATACAAGCTACCTCTCTGTAATCATTCTTCATAATCTGGATTTCCATACCACCCTCACCCCCAAATTTTGGGAACATATCCTAAACATGGGTGGAATGCATGCACCTGGTGCCCTTTCAGGGCAAAAATGTGAACTGTGCTCTCTTCTAACCTATTAGATCCTGAAATATTTTGCCTGGGAACCTTCATTCAAAGACCAAATTCTCAACATTCGGAAGAAAGAGCTCAATAACCTGAAAGTCTTTGGTCGGTTGCAGACTGTGATAATATTCCTCTTGCAATTAGCTCCAGTCTTGGTGAGTAGCAGAAGAGCCAGTAGACTGAGGAGGTTTTGGATTTGGGTCAGCTTCCTGAAAAGAAGGTCTGTTGTTGGTAGATTCCTAGTACCTACATGATCCCCAAATCCAGGGAATTTATCCCACTCCCTGAACCTCCATATCTTCATCCCCTACTTTGTGCTCCTAGCTCTAACTCCACCCTCATGTACTGTTTGGTGGTCCAGTAGCCAAGAACAAGTTTTCAGGATTTTCAGCATGAATGTGGTTTCCAAGAGCAATTTCCATGGCAGGGATTTTTGGGTAGATGGTATGAGTTGATAATGGAAGGAGTCAGAAGACCCAAATTCTGGTCCTAGGAATCCACTAATTGACTCTGTCACCTTGGGCAAGATAGTTCTTCTTTTCCTGGGCTCAATTTTCTCATCAATAACATGAGGAGGCTAGGATAATCTCTAAGGTTCCTTCAACTCTGAAGCATAATGTTCCTGAAACTTAGCACCTGGCTACTTGGACCTTTTTAGTAATTAATTGCTCATGACCTTGCTCTTTTCAGGTGTGTGTGGTCACATTTTCCGTTTATGTTTTGGTGGATAGCAACAATATTTTGGATGCAGAAAAGGCTTTCACTTCCATTACCCTCTTCAATATCCTGCGTTTTCCACTAAGCATGCTTCCCATGGTGATCTCATCTATGCTTCAGGTACCTAGGAACTCTACTGCTAACTGCTTAGCTCTGGGTAAAATCCTTAGAGTCCAGAATGACTGGCCTATTATACCCCATGACTTGCTCTTGCTGATGCCTTTCAATTAGAGATGTTTGGTCTCTGGAGACCAATGATTTGATCTTAGTAAAATCATAAGTTCTCTGCGTCCCAGTGACTATAAAATGAAGATAATCATACCAAACTAATCTATATCAGGAGGAAGTTCACAGGTGGCATACTAATGAAATGAGCCAAAGTGATGGGGAGGGAAGTGGCCTGTATTCATCTCACAGATGGCTAGCTTCAGGCAGCTCTGGCCACAGGAAAGACTAAGGTTTAGGAGAAGACTTCCCTGTCCTGGAGGGTATGAAGAAAGGCTAAACCATTTGGCCAGTAAAGGAACAACGTGCTCTTTTAAGATACAGCTCATTACATAGATAGAAAAGCAAGATCAGCAAAGGTGCTAGCTTCCTGCATTCCTTGTCCCATAGTACGACACGAACCAAAAGGCGTCAGATGCTGCTGCAACATGAACAGCAGGATGCTGTGTTTCTGAGGGGCTGATCCATGCAGCAGCTAAACAGTTTTATAGTCATAGCTGTATCGTAAGAAAAGGACAGGCAGAAAGCCTGATACTTCATCAGAGGCTTGTTGGCTATGAGGAACCATCTCAAGACAGCCTCACTGCAAGCTAGGAAGGTCTGTGAAAAACATACTTGTAGAAGCTCCTTGAAAACCTTCCAAATTCTCATGTTCCATGACCACAGGGTGTTCTGGCAACACTTAGATTAGCCAAAACTTAAGCTTTGGTCAGTTCCTCTATAGAGGGTCCCAGTAGTAGCTCAGTTAGGATAATAAGTTGTCATGACAGAGACTCAGTTAAATAAGAATAAGACAGGGGCCCAGCTACCAGAAATAGTAGGTAGAAGTTAGGGCTTTGTCCTAGAAGAAGGCAGGGGACCATTTCTGGAAATAGGGTCAAAGGTTACAGAGAAATAACAGTAGAGTTGAACTCCTTGAGCTTTCTAAAGGGCTGAAATAGAGTGTCTTAATTTCCTTCTGTCCAGGGTGGGATGGTATGACTGAATCTGTGGTGGGGGTCAGGAGTTGGGGCTGTGGCAAATGGCATACCATAGCTAATGACAAAGTCAAAATCTTTTCCCTGCTTATGCTTGTTATGAATTTGTTATCTTTGAGATCCTTTGTGTCTTTCTGTAGGCCAGCGTTTCTATAGAACGGCTAGAGAAGTACTTGGGAGGGGATGACTTGGACACATCTGCCATTCGACATGTCTCCAATTTTGGTAAACAAATTTGGAAGTTGCTTCCCAAAATGATTCATAGTGTTGACACCAGAATTTTGATATACAAGGGCTTGGCAGTAGCAAACTGATTCAAAGGAGGGCAAGGGGATTAGTCTTGAACTTATGTTTATGTAATAAGCATGTGCCTTTAGCTTGACTTATGTGCTCACCTAGAGCAGATTGCTTAGGAGATTGCTAAGCAAAGCTGAGCCAGCTATTCTAAGAATACACAGGAAATCCTGCAAAAGATTCAGAAAGCAGAAGTCATAATGGAGCCAAGTGTGTGGAAATAGGAGATTTCTTGGAGTGAAAGAACACACAGGTTCTGAATTGGAGGGTATCCATGGCAAGAGCGGGCAGTGGGTCTGGAGTCCAGAGTGGTGAGGGTTTATATAAAGAAGGTAGAGCTCATACACGGGGACTAGGTAAAGAGGGCCTGGGGGATGTATCCAGGGTACCTGTAGGTCAGGAATCTGGGATATAAATTTAGGACTTCAGAATTAAAAAGGACTTCATTTGCAGGCTACTTCTAATCTAATCTGGGAGCTTTCATTTGCCTCCTGTCAGTGTAGGAGCAGCATATAACAGAGGTGATCTCAGGTGCTGACAGAGAAAGCAGAGAAATATACAGGCTGAGGAAGGGCTGACAGACATATGGGGGCCTACATATGACTAAAAGGGGGTCTTTTCTTCAATAGACAAGGCAGTACAGTTTTCTGAGGCCTCCTTTACCTGGGACCGGGACTTGGAAGCCACAATCCAAGAGTGAGTTGTCTCTGGGCCCTCCTGCTCTTCTTAAGGATTTTCCTTGCCTGTCCTGTCCTCAGGAAATTCCATGTAATAGAACCATGGGGAAACAAACTATGTGTATGTGTTAGGTTAGATACCAGTGCAGGCTAACCCCCGGAGGGACGTGCTGACAGCCAAGATCCTGAACCTCTATCCCCCATGTCATGATTGTATTTCCACCCTTCTTTCCTACAGTGGCACCATGTATGACCTTCCAGGTGAGAACCTAAGAAGAGGTTTGTTTTGTAGACAATAGACGAAGATAGTGCACAGATGGCAGGAGGCCCAGTTCTCTGATCTCAAGAAGTTGAGATCAATTAAGTTCATTCATTCATGCATTCATCTGAAAATAAAAATCAGGAACGGTGGAATTTGGTTTTTCTCTCAACTCTGAACCATGGGAGCTACTACAATAAGATTCAATTTCAGATTCAGAGTTTCTCATTGAAATAACCCATTCCTAGACCCCGCCCTGGTGTCCACCTCTTCTGTTCAGCATGCATGCTGCACATAGGATACTCCTTGAGCACTATGTGTAGCAGTACACCCAGCTCATTCACTGAGTGCATCACAGAGCACAAGAACCCAGGAAGGCCATGTCTTTTTTCACAATCAAGCAAACCTCATTGTTTCTCTTGTGGAGAGTCAGAGAAGTGGCTTGACCTACTTTCAAATACCCCACTCCCATTTCCTTCCAAAACATTTCTCTTTTTCAGTGTGAACCTGGACATTATGCCAGGCCAGTTGGTGGCTGTGGTGGGCACTGTGGGCTCTGGGAAATCCTCCTTGATGTCAGCCATGCTGGGAGAAATGGAAAATGTCCATGGGCACATCACCATCAAGGTAAGAGGGAATGCCAATGGAGAAGATGTCTGACCCTCATGTGGGCCACTTAGCACCAGTTCCTCATTTGGGGTGATGTCCTATAGGTGAGGCCTTGGGGACGTCTGGTAGAATTGTGACCTATAGATTCTCTGTCCCATCCCAGGCTTACATAATCAGACTCTGGGAGTAAGGCCTAAGAATCTGAATTTTAATGAGCTCTCCAGGTGATTCCTATATGCATTCTAAAATGTAGAAACTGTCAACTTGAGATGTCTTTCTTCAAAGTATAGGCATTTCTGCTGTAACTGTGTATCTATTTCTAAAAACCTCACATTCTACAAAATTATGCAGCATTAATTGTAGGACCTAAGACAAAGCTGTAACAGATCACTACTAGAGGACTATTGTAACAAGAACAATAAAAATAGTAGTACTGTAAAATCAGCAGTGGCATCTGGACCAGCATCACACTCAGCCCTGGGACTCTCATCTCCTTTGAGAGGTAGACCTTTGAGGGCATTTGCTTCCAATACAAAAGCCTGGTGTAGGATGTTAACTTTTTCATGAATCATGTTTTTATTTTATTTTTTTTTTCCTTTTTTTTTTTCTTTTATTATTCATATGTGCATACAAGGCTTGGTTCATTTCTCCCCCCTGCCCCCACCCCCTCCCTTACCACCCACTCCACCACCTCCCGCTCCCCCCCCTCAATACCCAGCAGAAACTATTTTGCCCTTATCTCTAATTTTGTTGTAGAGAGAGTATAAGCAATAATAGGAAGGAACAAGGGGTTTTGCTGGTTGAGATTTGCGTGGGTGTTACCTTCTGAATCATGTTTTTAAACACAGAGGAAAATGTTTTCATGGCATCTTCATCAGTACTCTAAACTTCTCCAGAGAGCTAAACTTAGAGGAAATTGTAGGTATTTTTGAAAAAAAAAAAAAAAGTCACTACTTATACAAAAAGAGGCAAGACTTTCAGCTTTTTTTCTTAATCTTTCTAATTTGCTAAGGCTTTCTTTTTAAAGATGAGAGAGCTTGCCCCTGGTTGCTTTATGTTGAACTGTTCGGAAAAATTTTAAGAGACATCTCTTCTTCCACGATATACTGACATCATCCCCTTATTTACCAGTCTCTAATGAGGTAATTTGCATTTTAAAAAACATGCATTATTGCAGAGAATACTATAGATTTAACTTTGTCTCCTAATTCTTTTTGGGAAGATTTTTATTGCTAACTCATAACTGAGTTCTTTCTCAAACATAGGCATTTCTCACTCTTTATCTCTTTGGATATAATCTGCTTTGTGTTCTCCTTGGTGTCCTGATTCCAACCTCTTAGCTTTTGCTTCCGGTAATGTCATCTATACCACGATCTGAAGGTGTTAGTGATGTGTCCTAGTAAACTCACTGTGTTTGACTTAAACCCTGATCTAGAAGCAGCATGTGCATTCATCTTATTTTCAGGCTTATGGCAAGAAAATAATAGTCTAAAGGGCCAGGCTTAGTGATGAAGAGGACATTGAATCTTTCTTCCTGGTCAGTGCGATAAATATAAGCAATTAATAAATCTCAGATGCTTAGGCAGCCCAGCACATTGTTTTTGAAATCTAAGCTGTTTCTTCCTCTCCATTTCTGCCACCTCATCCTTCGACCGGCATTTCTGGAGGTATGACTGTCATGTCTGATCCTTTCCCATCTAGGGCACTACAGCCTATGTCCCTCAGCAGTCCTGGATTCAGAATGGCACCATCAAGGACAACATCCTTTTTGGAGCAGAGTTCAATGAAAAGAGGTATCATCAGATTCTGGAAGCCTGTGCTCTCCTCCCCGACTTGGAAATATTGCCTGGAGGAGACCTGGCTGAGATTGGAGAGAAGGTACTTGGGACAAGGGATCTTGAAGGGTGATGATGACAGCGAAAACTACATGGGAGAAACATAGGTGACCAATCTTAGTAGTCATGTTTGAAACAAATGCCAAAAACCATGTGTATGTACTGACCACAATATTTTGTGCTAGTAAGTCGGAATTTTAAAACTTTGTACCTGGAAACAAGTACAGGAATAATTTATACTCTAAATGTAATCTAAATCAAAGGTAATGGCAAAGGACCTGAGAAGCTAAATTAACTGTCACTGGTTCAAGGTTGACCTGTGTTATTAAATGCCTCATGTTATTAAATGTCTTTTGTAAAAATAGATTTTAATAACCATCTTATATCCATTGCATAGATAACACATAATTTATTTAGACATTTTTGATTACTACATCTTCAGAATATTTTCATCTTTCCTTCCTAGTATTGAAAACAAATACAGCAATCTTTTGGGGGCAAGGATCTTGAAACACTAGAAGGCTAGGAAAGATATAGATCTGGGGTTATTTTGTCCTTTAATTCAGCATATATTTATTGAACAACTACTATGCGACAGACACTGTTTAAATGCTGAGAATACACCCATGAACAAAACAAAGAAAACTCTAACTAAAAAAAAAAAAGCTCTACTTTCTCATGGGGGTGGGAAGCAATAAAAATGTCAAATAAATAAACTTATGTGATAGAAAATGGTAAGTTGGGCATGCCTTTGATCATTGGGCCTAAGAATTATTTATTTAAATCAAACTCATTTATATGAAGACACTTGTGTGATTTTTAAGCTCTTGATACTTTATGGAGGCAAATTTCTTCCTGTTACTCTTACTTACTAGACCCTGTGAAGGTGGGTCTACTGCTTAACAGACGTTATTTTCTTCTTCAGGGTATAAATCTCAGTGGTGGCCAGAAGCAGCGAATCAGCCTGGCCAGAGCAACCTATCAGAACTCAGACATCTATATTCTGGATGATCCTCTATCGGCTGTGGATGCTCATGTAGGGAAACATATTTTCAATAAGGTCTTGGGTCCCAATGGCCTGCTGAGTGGCAAGGTGAGAAATTATGTAGTGTGATGAGGATAGGAGGACCAGGGGGTGAGTCACATACATCTCCCTGAAAACTTATTGTCTTGAAGCAAATGTTCTTATTTATCTCCTTCCTGGGCTCCTGAAGAGATACAGTCACACTGGTTTCCTTGGGGACTATCCCATGAAGCCTACCATTTTGAAGTCATGGCTTATGCTGTAACTAACTAATTTGAGCCTTATTCTGTGCCTCTGACATTGAACCTATTAGGGTGATTGATTATAATAAAGAGTGCTTTTGCACCTGTGGTTAAAATAGGAAATAAATTTGGCCTTTGCCACTAGTTCTTGGCATAGTTCCTAAAACCCTTGTAATTTCAGGAGTGATAAGAGTGTCTTTTCTAAATGATAACAGTACCTTTTAATAACACCTGAGTGTATGCTAATGAAATGACTTAGAGTAGGGCCCCCTAGATAGCCTCAATATGGGGCTGATCATCAGTATGAACAAGTGATTAGAAGTTTGGAATATTTAGCCCTATAATGACCTCCAGGTAGGAAAGGGGGTGGTGGCTGTAGAGATTGGGTTATAAAAACTTGAACAATGAGATTTGGAGAACTTCCTGGTTAGTGAAGACATCACCTTCCCTTCTATTACTAGTCCTGTCTTCTGTCCTTCAGTTCATTCATTCATGAACTGATACCCACCTTGTGCCATGTTTGTTGCAAAAACTGGGTGTATATAGATGGAAAAGTCTGATCCTTTTATTCATGTAACCTATAACCTAATGGGAAGACATACAGAGAAGCAAACAATAGTATTACAATACCATTGTTTTAATGGTAGTCTGTACAACCTATAGCAGAAATGTTGGAGGGATGCCTGGGGCTTGCCAAGGGGCTCAGAAAAGGCACCAGAAGAGTTGGATGAGCATCTCCTGGGTATTCCAGATAAGAGGAATCTAGACTCAGTTGAGCTGTGAAATGGAAAGCAAAGGCAGTGGGCTTGGGTTTTCTCTCCAGAAGCCCATTACAACCTCTTGAACCCCAATTCAGCCTCATTACACACTTGTAAATGTTTATCTTCATCTGAGTAAAGTTCCTGTCCCAGTGTCAATAGATAGGAACACCAGGGATTGGGATTCCAGGTCTGTAACACCAAGTAGGGCCTGGATTAAAAATAAAGTTTCTTGTTCTACAGAGTCTCTAACACCCTGAAAGAATAGCCAGTTCTTAGTATAGTTGGTTAGCTGGTAAGTGGAAGGCTAGTGAGTGAAGAGGGGCAATTAGCCAGTGAGTTAGCTTTCCATGTAGGAACTGGTCTCAAGTGACTTTCCTTAGCACAGTCTTTCGCTACCCAGGGACATGGAAAAGAATGTATGCAGAGTAGATCTCATTGTCACTACAGGGAGATAACTGTGATGATCCACGTTGATAAGAGTCTCATTTCACACAAAGTGTCATGGGTTAAGATTTGGTGCTAGGAAGGAAAGAGGAGGTAAAACAGACTGAGTGGTCCAGGCCACATTTTGAAGCCAAGTGCCAGTGTGAATGCTTGTTTGTTTGTTTTTTCCTGTTTAAAGCAATACAGGAAGGATGGTAAATGCAGGATAATCAGAGAAAGTTAATGTTCCCTTTGCAGACTCGACTCTTGGTCACACATAGCATTCACTTTCTTCCCCAAGTGGATGAAATTGTGGTTGTGGGGAATGGCACTATTTTGGAAAAAGGATCATATAGTGCTCTTCTGGCCAAGAAAGGAGTGTTTGCGAAGAATCTGAAGACATTCACGAAACATTTGGGCCCTGAAGGGGAGGCCACAGGTATGTAAGGGGGATTGGAGTAGGACAGAACTTAGGTCCTGAGTGGGAATAATAAAACTACTTCCTGAGCTATTTAGTATCCAATGAACTAGATTTAGAAGTGAATTACCCAGAGTTTCAAAGTCTGCTGTTCTGTGTTCTGTGTCTCTATAGAGATTCAGAAATTGAAACTCTATTTTCTGAATTAGTTCCTTTTAAGTTTTTGGTCAGCTTCTTATTTGCCTCAACTGTTGTCAGCTGATATGAAACAGTTGCTGCTGTTTGAGCTAGCTCTGAGTTAAGTGAAATAAAGACAAGCCTTGAACAGAGGTTTTCAGGGAATTCCAGACAGGTGAAATAATGGCAATTATCTTGGGAGGAGGCTTTTGGGGAATCCTAAACCCACTCTGTCCCCTTAAGTGGCTGCTAGGCTGGTACTTTTCATGGCTTCCATGATTTTATGGCTTTTGGTTTTCTAGGCTACAGCAGTTGCGAGGACAGAGGTAAAAACAGGGCAAGTTAAATCACCATGAAATATTCCGTTGTTGCCAAGATTCAGTCATTAAAAGAAAAATCCTTTACAAAATTTGTTTACAAACCTTTGGTGATTCCAAAGTTCGGAAAAAGTTGATTTTGACAACTTTTTTGGCCAGTGTTCTCATTGCCTTTTTTGAGGAGCAGATTTCTACCATTTCCCCTGGTGCCCAAGCTCTCTTTTACATTTTATTTCATTATTTTATTTTGTTTTGGGGTATGTTTTTTAAATGCTTTCAATTAATAAAAGTTTGTTAAGTTGTTCCAACATTAAGATTAGCATTTGCAATTTAACAGCAATCTCTTTACTCAATTCTGGGAACGTGACTCCTCTGTTTATCTCCCACAATCCCTGAAAGTTTTTTACTGCTACAAAGAAACTTGTATATGTCCAGGACTTTTCTTCTTCTTTTCGTCATTTTCTCTTCCAGTAAAATATAACCCATCTCTCCTTTATCCTGGCATTTCTCAATAAGAATATGTAGTAATAACTCGTATTTATGGGATAAAATATCGTAGCCTGTGTGTATATCTGGGACCTCTTGCTAAAGTCACCAAGATCAGGGACACCTTCCAGAACACTACTTGTTCACAGGGCTGTGAGAACTCGGTGTTACTTCCCTAACCTCTAACGTGTTTCCTTAGTTAATGATGACAGTGGGGAAGAAGATGATGATTGTGGGCTGATACCCACTATAGAGGAGCTCCCTGAGGATGCAGCCTCCTTGACCATGAAGAGAGAGAACAGCTTTCATCAAAAACAGAGCTTCAGGTAGGCCCGCTTGTTCAAGTGGCAGCTCTCATCACTTCCATATTTTCACTTGATCCTTCTTTTTTCCTCTGTGGACTTTGCTGAGAGGGTAGACCCCATGGGTACTCCCAGCTCTTCCTTTGCTTCCTTGTATGGACAGGGTAGGGCTAAGGTTGTACTGGTTTCCCATGGTCACGTGCTCTGAAATGCACTTCCATGTCCACAGGATGATTGAAACCATCCACTTGCAAGGACACCATTGGGAAGAAAATTATATGCTAAGAGGTTTTCTCCTCTCTATCTCTCAGCTCTAGGTCCAATAGCAGGCATCGGAAGTTCCTGAAAAACTCCTTGAAATCTCAAAATGTGAATGCCCTAAAGAAGGAAGAACTAGTGAAAGGACAAAAACTAATTCAAAAGGAATTCATGGAAACTGGAAAGGTAAACACCATACAAAAAAAGTATTATTTGAGGTGATGTAAGGCTTGGAATCTGAAATTTTAAAAATTAGTTGAAACTCAAATACATATCTACAGGAGAAAATGTTCAAATTCTTTATTAAAATGATAACAGAGGCTGAGGCTTCCTATCAAATCATATTTGTATGTAGTAGACATGTTTCCTGTGAATAACCTCTCCCTACCTTTCGTGAGTGGTAGATTCCATTCTGATGTGTGGAGAACAACAAAACTACTGTGAGATGTACTTTGAGGAGTCTGGAAACACAAATCTATCAGACCTAAGGCACACAATTTAAATTAATGACTCTTAAAACCACAAACACCAAGGGCCGTAGTAAAACCCCACCTTTCCCACTCTGTTTTCATATCTTCCCCTCAAGAAGAGACTTTAGATCCTTATTAATAACATGATAGTTATTTACCCTGCATTGTATTTCAACATTGATCTATTAGCCTGATCCAAGGCAGGGCAGAAATGGTGATCACAAGGCTACCGTAAAATTTTGTAATTTGCTATTCACTTTTCTAGGGGCCTGTACTCCTCCTGTGATTGGTTTTCTAGGTGATTCCTCACCAAAACTCATTAGGGTGTTATGCTAATATTGGTGGTTGCTTTGCAGGTGAAGTTCTCTATCTACCTGAAATACCTACAAGCAGTAGGATGGTGTTCAATATTCATCACCATCCTTCTGTTCATGATGAATTCTGTGGCTTTTATTGGATCCAACCTGTGGCTCAGTGCTTGGACCAGTGACTCTCAAAACTTCAATAGCACCAACTATCCAACCTCTCAGAGAGACATGAGAATTTGGGTCTATGCAGTTCTGGGATTAGCACAAGGTATGTCTGATAGTTATGATAGCCATCTCTTATGGAATCTTTCTGGACCTTGTATTTTTCCTATACTCAGGAAAGTATTTCCTATTGAGTCCTGGGCACAAGTTTTTTTTTTTTTCCTTTTTCTTTTATTATTCATATGTGCATACAAGGCTTGGGTCATTTCTCCCCCCTGCCCCCACCCCCTCCCTTACCACCCACTCTGCCCCCTCCCTCTCCCCCCACAATACCCAGCAGAAACTATTTTGCCCTTATTTCTAATTTTGTTGTAGAGAGAGTATAAGCAATAATAGGAAGGAACAAGGGGTTTTGCTGGTTGAGATAAGGATAGCTATACAGGGCATTGACTCACATTAATTTCCTGTACGTGTGTGTTGCCTTCTAGGTTAATTCTTTTTGATCTAACCTTTTCTCTAGTACCTGTTCCCCTTTTCCTATTGGCCTCAGTTGCTTTAAGGTATCTGCTTTAGTTTCTCTGCGTTAAGGGCAACAAATGCTAGCTAGTTTTTTAGGTGTCTTACCTATCCTTACCCCTCCCTTGTGTGCTCTCGCTTTTATCATGTGCTCAAAGTCCAATCTGGGCACAAGTCTTCAGGAATTCCTGTGCTTGGTGCTGACAAAACTGGTTCTATTTCTAGGTGCATTTGTGCTCATGGCAACTTTCTTGAATGTATACAGTTGTGTTCATGCAGCAAAAATCTTGCACAGACAGCTGCTGAACAATGTCCTCCGAGCACCCATGAGTTTTTTTGACACAACACCCACAGGCCGGATTGTGAACAGGTTTGCTGGTGTAAGTACCATGCCGTATGGTTTATATACTGAGGAGCTTTCTGTTTCTAATAGGAAGGGATTCTCAGATCCCTCTAGATGACTGCATGGTTTCAGTTCTTTTGTCTACTCAACAAGCAAATGGTTTTTGAGTATCTCCTGTGAGGTTCCAAGGATTCTAGGGATATAGGGATAAACAGCTCTGGCTCTTCAGTGGCTCACTATCTAGTGAAGGAGACAGCCAAAAAAGAAATGAAGGATTGTGAGAGAATATGGTAAAACCAGTAACAAAAGGGCTAGGGGCGTGGCTCAAGTAGTAGAGCACCTGCCTAGCAACACAAGGCCCTGAGTTTAACCCCCCCCACATTCCATACAACCACCAATAACAATACTGTACATAGAGGCGTTCTGGGAGTACAAAGGAATAACAGAGACAGAGTTACTAGCTCAACCCAGATGAGGGTGGAAAATGTCAGAAAAGGTGAGACGAAGAAGTATCTAGGGAGATGGTGAGGGTTGCTGGGGATGGGGAAAGATGGGCAGTAGAAGCAGGGTAGGATGAAGTATTCTGCAGAGGGAAAAGCATAAGTAAAATCACTGTCATTTCCTGTGACAGTGAATAAAAGTGATAATAGAATAATCCTTTCCTTGATCTATGCCTCTATTCCAGAGTGATCTTTGCCTCTGTTCCTGAAACTTCTATCTTTGATGCTTTAAGAATTAGGTGAAGAATTCAGACTGCGAATTAGGTCTGAATGTTAGAGTAGAGCCTCCTTAAAATAGGAAATTCTTAAACACCGTTTTCATCTGCTGCAGATGCTGGCATCATTGGCATTCATTCATTCCTTCAGCAACATTCATGAGCCTGCTGTACCACTGTGCTAAGCACTAGCACCATAGATAAATGATCATGGATGGCTGTCTTCCATGGATGAGACCCAATTCATTGATTTTTTTTTTAGCATAACAAATATATACTGTATTTATTTATTTAATAATACTTTGTGATTAGATTTGTAAAATTTTTTCAGTTATTCAAAATTGTTTTTGCTAACATTTTAGTCTCATTTATTTGCCTCTAGTCTTAATTTTATTTATTTTTTATTATTCTTATACAAGGGGTACATTGTGACATATACAAAAGTTCTTACAATATATCATAGTTGAATTCACCCCCTCCATCATTCTCCTTTATTCCCTCCTCCCTCAGTTCATGGAATAGTTTCAGTAGGTCTCATTTTTCCATTTACATACATGTGTACAGAATATTTCTACCATATTCACCCTTCTATGCCTTTTCCTTATATCCTTTCCCCTCCCACTGGTACTAACCCCCAAGACAGGACCTGCTTTGCCTTCCTGTTCCCCATTTTTGTACAAAGGGGTTACATTGTTATATTTCCATACACATATATACTGTACTTTGATCAAATTCATTCCTTCTATTACACATTCCTTTGAATAGATGCCCAATGTAGTATAGCAGGATGATATGGTAGTTCTGTTATTTTGTTTTTTTGAGTAACCTCCATCCTCATTTCCATAGTGACTGCACTAATTTACATTTTCACCAACAGTATATCAGTGTTCCTTCCCTTCCACCCATCCCTCACTCCCTCATCCTCGAGAGCATTTGCTGTTTGTTTTCTTGATGATAACCATTCTGACTAGGGTGAGATGGAAGCTCAGTGTCATTTTCATCCTTTATAGCTGAGGATGTTGAACATTTCTTCATGTATTTATTGGACATGTCATTTTCCTCTGGATCAGAAGCAGTGGGCATGCTGTCATTGGAGACCACTTAAATGGGCTCTCCACTATTTAATAGAACCAAACAGAGCACACACTCCAGCATGGGGACATTTCTTATAGGAATTTTGCAAAGATTGCAGTCTTTCTTGTGTCCTGATATATATGATTAATCTTCTGGAAATAAAAATACAGAGGTCTTCTTGTGAGTCAGGCTACTTTGCTCACTGCTTTTGCATGAAAAAGGAAATGGTTGTTAATCATATAGTAAGTTTTGTAGGGGAAGTGGCTAGGCCTATAAAGGGGAATTTAATTCTAGAATCAGTGGCTGAGTCTTTAAGAGGAGAAAGAGTAGAGGAAAGAGAGGTGACTAATCTGTGCTACATAAGGATCAAGAGTAATCTGCGTACCACTGGTAGCTGGTGAGGATTTCTTTTTTCTGCCAACTCTGGACATAGTTACATATTTGCATTCTGATGTGAATTTAGGAAAGGTAGATTAGACTCAGGAGTCATTCCTGATTCAGAACTCTCTTGGAAGACTATTTTTCCCTGACCCAATTTTGGGCCTTTCAGAGGTAATTTGGACTCAACTCAGTACTCACATGGTTACTAATCATAGAATCAATATAATCCTCTCAGAAAGTCGTGGAAAGGCAACCCAGAATATAAGCCAGGCTTCCAGAATGTGTTCCAAGCCATTCATTCATTAATTTTCTCATTTGCTAATTTATTTTACATGACATGATGGCAATATGGTTGTAAGACTCATCTACACACCTCTGGGTTCCTTGGTTGAAACACTGACCAGCCAGGGGTCACATTCAATTCTACTTCCTTTCCCCTTCAAGCTCCATGCTTGGCAAAGGAAACAACTTCCCAGTACGAGATTGTTCTTTAGTCAAGAGCAGGTGACGAGGGTTGTTGACTGGAGCTTCCAAACAAATGGGTTTTTTTTTGAATGCCTATTAGTGTCATGCTATGTTCTAGGTATTTGACAGAATTAGGACCTATGTGAACTGAACTGGTTTGGTTATAGGAGAAAGATTTACCTGTTGGACTCTATTAGTTTATAATAATTATGACTGCTTTAATGAAGTTGATGAATGAGAAGAGTGAAAACCTTTACAAAATATACTGAAAAAGGTGAAGGATGATTGCCAAATGAAGAAATTGCAGAAATGAGACTGACTATTGAGTTGAGCAGGCTAGTCCATTACAAATGAGTGTCTTGAAAGATTAATTAGGAAGTCACTGGAAGTGTGTAGAGTTGAACATCTACCTGGCTGGAACCAGGATGACGTAATAGGAGTTCATTGGTTCACCATTTCTCTTAATCACTTCCTAGGATATTTCCACTGTGGATGACACCCTTCCTCAGACCTTGCGCAGCTGGATTGTTTGCTTCCTGGGAATAATCAGCACCCTTGTCATGATTTGCATGGCCACCCCTGTCTTCACCATTATCGTCATTCCTCTTGGCATTATTTATGTGTCTGTTCAGGTAGGTTTGGAATGGCTAGGCCTCCCTTTCTCTCTGGATCCTTTCTGAGAATCTTCTCTTGTTTATTGGTAGCATTTTTGCCATTTAGGAATACATAGATATACTCATGAGCCTACAGGCTACTGTCTGAAGCTAAATTGTCACCATCAATTGGCATATGGTTCACAGCACATAATACTATAACTATCCCCTACAAGCGTAAATGGGACACATTTATGTTTGGATTCAAGACTATTTTGAGGACTAGGGATATAGCAGTGGGATAGTACTCACCTAGCATGTGCAAGGTTCTGAGTTTGATTCCCAGCACTACAAAAAGAAAACCTACTTTGAGACTGGTTCTGGAGAAATTCTTGTAGCTCCATAATGACTCTCACAATGGTTAGGTCATTTCTGGACATGTGCCAGGGCTATTTCCTCTTTTGGCTTTTAGTAGGCATTATCTACTTGTAGCAGGAGCCAGATCTCCTTTTCACTTCAGGACAATTCTAGTTTCACTGGGGTGTCTGTGGATGGTTTAGGCTCACTTTCAACATATTCTTTGAGGAAACAAGTAACTTTGTAGCCAAGCTCCATAGAAAAGCTGGAAAAAGTGGCAGGAACTCCATGTCTGTAATAAAAATTGTTAAGGAAGGGAAACTGTGAGGCAAACTTGTGTCCTACCAGTTCCTTTGTGATGAACTGTTCACCCAGGGGAAACAGTTCTGAAGACTCTACAGTCCGAGTCTTGTGGCATTGTGGCTTATGGTATGGTACCTCTTGTGCCTTTGTTGTGTTCCCCAGGTGTACAGTCCTGCCTATAGTGACTTTTTACTATTCATAACAAATCAACAAATAAGGCAAGATTATTTGAGGAAACTTTCAGACCTAACATCTCGCATTTGATTCCCAAATGCTCAGCTCTTCAACAAATCATTACAGAATATAAGCACCACTAATCCATTCCATCATGCTTTCCCATCAGGTCACAGAGATTCTACCCACATTCCAGCATATCTGGATCCATTTCTTACACCCTCAGCATTCTGCACAGCAATCTTCACCTTCACATACATATACAACTTTGGTCACTTGACTGACTCTGTTCTTCAATTTTTATCTAAACCTCAGCATTCCTTTCTTTGGCTATTTCCTGCCCACCTCTCAGGTCCCAGCATCCTTTATGAGTTCCTTTTGAAGGCCATTTCTCTGAACCAGTACAGAAACTATCATTTGGATGTATGTGGATCTAATAAAACTCATGTGGTTTGGAAACTCAAATCTCTAAGGCTATGGTATAGTCTCCTCACTTTTATCTTCTTCTGTTCCTCACTGACCACAACTTTTCCACTCTTGTCTTCCTTGGGCCTCTCATCATTCTAACCAGATGTGACACTGCAGGCTTCCATTCTGTTCAGATGTGGACTGTGGCCACCAAGTAAAGAATGTTGAGTCATGGCCAGAAAGGAAGAGGTACAGAATATATGACATGATTGTGTGATTAACTGACTCATTACTTTATGCGTTCAGGTGTTTTATGTGTCTACTTCCCGCCAGCTGAGACGTTTGGACTCTGTCACCAGGTCCCCAATCTACTCTCACTTCAGTGAGACTGTAACAGGTTTGCCTGTTATCCGTGCCTTTGAGCACCAGCAGCGGTTTCTAACACACAGTGAGGTGGGGATTGACACCAACCAGAAATGTGTCTTTTCCTGGATCACTTCCAACAGGTGAGGCTTATATTAAGTATTTTCGCAAATGGTGTTTTGGGTTTCTGAATGCTTGGCATTAGCCACAGGAGGGCAGCAGTGGCCCGTGGTGTAAAAGTCACTCACATCTGCCTTACTAGAGAGAAGAGAACATGAACTTCGGAATCAAAGACCGGTTCCCAGTCTAAGTGAATTTACCTATCTAGGTGAATTACCTTAACCTTACTAAGAAAAAAATCTCAGTTTTCTTTATCTAAAAACAAAGTAAAGGACACAACCTGTGTTGTGAGGTTATACAGTAGACCCTTGTATCCTCTGGTATCTAGTTCTAAGGAGACGACCATGTGGAGGAAAAACCACAAATGCTCAGGGTACGTGGAGTCCAGTGCTATATTGTAGATATTTGATTCATTTTTTTGCAATGCCACCCAACTTCTGCTAAAAATATGCCACCTTTTAAAAAATCTAAAATTTTCACTTTATCAGTTAAATTAAGCACATTACATGCTCTCTTTTTGGCTTGAGAGGATTGTCATAAATTTTACCTTGTTTGGGGGAGTCAGATTTCCACAAAGTTGAGAGCAGGGAAACACTCAGCAGATTACACAACTATTTAGATACAACTGATCATAATTCAAGACTGATCAAGAGCTTCTCCACATCAACTGATATCTGTATACATGTATTCTTGTGTTCATTACAAAGCCCAAACAAATCTCCCTGTGACCAACTCACACCTAACTTCCCTCTACCCTCAGCTTCTTCAGGTACATCGAATCTTTCTGTGGTGCTTGCTTTTTTAGCTATACATATATATTCACTATGGTGTTGTTTCTTTTTTTGCCCTGAGCAAAAGAAATTGCTTGTAGCATTCACTTAAAATTTGCAGGTGCTTAAACCCCATGTCAGGCCCCTGAATCAGAACCTCCTGGAGAAAGGCCCAAGAATTTTTTTACATGAATCTGTAACAGTATACTTTTTTTATTATTGTTTTATTATTCATATGTGCATACAATGCTTGGGTCATTTCTCCCCCCTGCCCCCACCCCCTCCCTTACTACCCACTCCACCCCCTCCCTTACTACCCCCTCCCCCCTTCCCCCCACCCTTTCAATACCCAGCAGAAACTATTTTGCCCTTATCTCTAATTTTGTTGTAGAGAGAGTATAAGCAATAATAGGAAGGAACAAGGGTTTTTGCTAGTTGAGATAAGGATAGCTATACAGGGAGTTGACTCACATTGATTTCCTGTGTATGTGTGTTACCTTCTAGGTTAATTCTTTTTGATCTAACCTTTTCTCTAGTTCCTGGACCTCTTTTCCTATTGGCCTCAGTTGCTTTTAAGGTATCTGCTTTAGTTTCTCTGCGTTAAGGGCAACAAATGCTAGCTAATTTTTTAGGTGTCTTACCTATCCTCATATCTCCCTTGTGTGTTCTCGCTTTTATCTTGTGATCAAAGTTCAATCCCCTTGTTGTGTTTGCCCTTGATCTAATTAATGTCCGCATATGAGGGATAATGTACAATTTTTGGTCTTTTGGGCCAGGCTAACCTCACTCAGAATGATGTTCTCCAATTCCATCCATTTACCAGTGAATGATAACATTTCATTCTTCTTCATGGCTGCATAAAATTCCATTGTGTATAGATACCACATTTTCTTGATCCATTCGTCAGTAGTGGGGCATCTTAGCTGTTTCTATAACTTGACTATTGTGAATAGTGCCGCAATAAACATGGGTGTGCAGGTGCCTCTGGAGTAACCTGTGTCACATTCTTTTGGGTATATCCCCAAGAGTGGTATTTCTGGATCAAATGGTAGATCATGTCCAGCTTTTAAAGCCTCCAAATTTTTTTCCAGAGTGGTTGTACTAGTTTACATTCCCACCAACAGTGTAAGAGGGTTCCTTTTTCCCCCGAATCCTTGCCAACACCTGTTGTTGGTGGTGTTGCTAATGATGGTTATTCTAACAAACAGTATACTTTTAACTGTTGCCCCAGGTGATTCTTAGAATTTGACAACTTTAATAGATATTGCACTGTAAGAATTCCATTAGTTTTGTAAACTCCTGTAGGACCTTTAAAAAACAATTTATTTCTTTTTAAAAAATAATTCAGTAGACCTTCAGAAGTATATTTAGGTGTTCCTAAATCAAATTAAGGTAACTCCTAGAAGCACAGCTGCACCAACTCAAATCTTCTGTGACTGTTCTGTGAGCTCCGAGGTTGCTGGTTAAGATGAGGAGGTAGAGATCAGTGATTCTCTTTCTCTCTCTATGGTTCTGTTGCCCTACAGGTGGCTTGCAATTCGCCTGGAGCTGGTTGGGAACCTGATCATCTTCTCTTCATCCTTGCTGCTGGTTATTTATAAAGATACCCTACAGGGGGACACGGTGGGCTTTGTTCTGTCCAATGCCCTCAATGTGAGTCTGAGGTTGGGATTTCTACTAAATGAATGCATTTAATTCTGGAGCATGCTATGGAGTCCATGGTTTTGTTTTGTTTTCCTCCATTTTTATTAGGATATATCCATTTATGGGGGGATTCATTGCAATAATTCCTAAAAGGCTTACATTGTACATTGGTTAGATTGCCCCCACCATTTCTCCACCTTGATCCCCTCCCTGACGCCGTTCAAGCAATTGCAAGAAGTTTCATTTGTTCTGTTTTGTAAACATATATGAAGTCCATCAACCATTTTCCCTCACCTTCATCTCCTTCATTCTCCCTCCTCTCCCCACAACTATTTTACAGTCCTGTCTTTCATTATTAATTCCTAAGCCAGGGTTCAAAGGGGTTTCCTGATGTATCCCCGCAGTGAGTATACTTTACTTTGGTCAGTTCAACCCTTTCCGTTATTCTCCCTTAACCCTTCCCTCCCCGCCACCACATTAAGTCCATGCTTTTGATTCCTTTCTAGATCCAGAGGAACTAGGGGAGACGGAGGTTCAAACCTTGGCTCCATCTTTTACCCATGGATACTCCCCTGACCCTATTTAAGCAGGCACCAGTGTCATAAATGTTGCTGTCCTTAGGCCTTAAGAAACCAATTTTATATGTTTTAGTTTAATATTTTCTTGCCTGTTTGTCCCTTTGGTTGGTTCTAGTAAACCAAACATATACAGTTATCAGAAAGTCCTTTGGATAAATTGTAATAAAGAGAGTCTGACAAAACTATATGATGTACTTCACTGCAGCATCCTCAGCATGACTGGGGAATAAATGCCAGACATTATTATTGTCTAGCACCTAAGATAGCAGCCAACACTATGGGAACTGTTCAATTAATATTTGTCCAATAAGTGAGTCACCTCACCATCTTTCATAGCATCTTTTTGAGCTAATATTTTAGAGACTTGAATAGCCATTAAGTGTGCTTTATATAGTTCTGTTTTCCTTAGAAGTTAATAAGGCCCAAAGTGATTATGGCAGGACACCCAAAAGGACTCTTATTTGCCAGAGTCACTCAGTTCCGTGTGTCACTACCTTTTTATCCACCAAGACAGACAAAGTGAAGAGTTGGGAAACTTGGATTGATCCTAAACAAAATCACTCAATATCAGCAATTACTGTTGCTTCAACCTACGCTAAGTGGTTACTCTTAGTCCCCATGATCCTAACCTCTGCACCCTGTGGTTCTCTTTCCCTAACCACCATTCACTCCACCAAAACTCCTGGGAATATCTGCAAACTCCTGATTCTTTGTCTGAAAGCAGCTTGCATCTGAGTAATCCCTGGCCTCCAGTCTGGCCTGGGTCATTGCAGCACCTTTACTGATGGCTGGATACATTTGTGTGACGTAGAGGAGGGAGAGGGTCCATGTGGATGTCCGCCTTGATGGCTGAGGGTGAGTGAGATCAGAGAGAGGGGTCAGCTTTTTGAAAGGTTATTTCCTGCCCTGTGTCTTTTCTCATGCTCTTCCCCTTTTGTAGAATGCCATCTACAACCACTTCTACAAAGAGCAGTAGCTTGGCAGGCAGGAATTCTCCACCAGGAGCCAGCCTCTCCAACCCCAGCTTAAACCCCAAACCATTCAAAAGTTATATTGACCTTCGTGTGAGAACTACACAGCACCCGCTGCCACCCCACCACAGAAAGAAGGATTGTCTTACACTTTTCCTTACTCTTTTGTAGAGCTCACCATGGTGTTGAATACAAAGTAGCCCTGAGTTGACCTTGTGGTAGGACTAATTGAGCTGGTGTCTGAGCCTGAGATGATTTTAGTCTTCTGGTTTTTCTGTAGATCACCCAGACCCTGAACTGGCTAGTGAGGATGACAGCAGATACAGAGACTAACATCGTATCTGTTGAGCGAATAAATGAGTACATAAATGTGGAAAATGAGGTAAGGAGGAATTAAAGAAACACGGGAACAGGTCCATGTGACTTTTTGGAGAGGGCATCTTCATCATTTCTCAATATCTCACAAGGGTTCATAACTGTAACTCAAAGGACCTAATTTCTTCAAACTCACAATAGGAAATGGTTTGGAGGAAGTCCTGGAATTCATTTAATATTAAATAATAAATATTTATTTAAATGAATATTTAGGCTTCATTCTGGAGAGCCATAGAACAATTCTTTAATTGAATAAGGTTCTTCCTTATGGAAGAACAAGTCTAGTTCAGCTAGTTGCTGGGACACTGCTTGCTACCCTTCTCTTGCTTTGTGACATGAGTCCCATGATAACTGGTTGAGCTGCTACTGTGTAAAGCGTTTCTCATCCTAACCCTTGCCAGGCACCCTGGGTGACTGATAAGAGGCCTCCAGCAGATTGGCCCTCCAAAGGTGAGATCCAGTTTCACAGCTACCAAGTACGGTACAGGCCTGAGCTGGATCTAGTACTGAAAGGGATCACCTGCCACATCAAGAGCATGGAGAAGGTAGGTGAAGTGAAGGGAGGCCTGGATATGAGGCCTTGTGATCGGAGGACAATTGGGCACAGAATAGAGAGCAACTGGACTCTAGGCTTCCATCGTTGGGTAGAAAAGGGAGAGAGTCAGGGCACTTTCTCTGTTGTGGGGTCATGTATGGATAAACACCACCACCAGAGAGCAGGATATCATTTGCTGATATCCTGCCCACTCGCCAGGGCTCATTTCCTCTCAGGGCACAGCATGAATCTGGCCTAGAATCAGTTCCTAGAGGAAGGAACTGTTAAGAATGGCAGTGAGAAGGGTTGTCCCTAAGGGGAGAATGGCTGCTTTTCCTCCTCATCTGTGAAGTTGGACACCCTCCTACAATACTCTTGTTCTCCAAAGATTTGGGGGTCTTATGTGGCAAGGATTCTGAAGTCCAAATCAGGGTCTGGGTCTCAGCTGGTGGCAAACAGCTGAGAACGCTTCTTCTTGTTTCTAAAGAAGAATTTTTTTAAAAAAGAAGCTATAATTTCCAATAACAGTTATAACAACAATAACCGCTAGGTGGGTGTCTCCATTTCCAACCATCACTGTGGTTCTCAGCAAGCAACAGTTTACGATGTGGGATGGGAAAGCCATCTTTTTCTGACATTTGGGCACCTTTTTCCTCCCACCAAAACCCAAAGCCATTTAATACCTCAGAGATGGAATAGCCTGTCACTGCCTTTTACCACCTATAATTGTGAATAATTTTTTCTCCAAGAATTGCACATTGAACTAATATATAAAGTGAACTATATTCGCAGGTTGGTGTGGTGGGCAGGACTGGAGCTGGGAAATCTTCTCTCACAAACTGCCTCTTCAGGATCTTAGAGGCTGCAGGTGGCCAGATCACCATTGATGGATTAGATATTGCTTCCATTGGGCTCCATGACCTTCGAGGGAAACTAACCATCATCCCCCAGGTGAGCTCTAGAGCTTACTTTGGCCCACACAGTTGGGCGACTTGTTCTGTCTATTCAATTAACATTATCATTTCTGTAGTCTGCTCAGGATACCTGAGCTAGTTCCCTAAGACATTGTTTATAAAATTTTAAAGTTTTGCATTGTTTTTGTAATATGCATTTGCCAGTATCTGACCATTAGGTGGCAGCAACACAACAGAAGTCAGCCAGAACAGATGGTTATTTAGCATTTGTATAGCCCATCATGGCTTGCTAGACCTTTGCAATAAGCATTAGCAGTTTTGCCATTGAAGCTTGAAGCCATTAAGCTTTATACTCCCCATTTGATATGGTTAAAAGGCAGAGGAGGGAATTTGCTGCAGGGTTTTGCCAGCAAGTGAAACACTTAGTGTATCAGCAAGAAAGAGTTCCTTTTGGCTTTCTCTCTGAACCCTACCAAATAAGGATTGCCATGGAGACCTCTCCACTCCCAGGCAGCGTGGGGCTCCTCATTAGCACCATTCCTCCTCCCCTCGCTGTGGTTGGTTTCTCTGGTGTTTGCTTAGTTTGATTTGTACTTTTCTTTGGCCTCTTCCAAGCATAATGAATTCTTCTCAGGTGACTGTTCTATCCCTTTTTCTACCTTCCTTTCTTCTTTTTGCCTTTTCTACCTCTAAAGTATGAATTTTCATCTGGGGGTAGTGATATTCCTCTCATCTTAACAGATGTTGTGGCGATTTTGGAAATTCATAAGTGAATCTCAGCATGAAACAAAAACAATAAACCAAGGACCCCTCTTACTCTTGTGCTTAGCTTCCTAGTGGCAGCCATTCCAGGCCTTCAGGGCCCTTGCAGAGGTTCAACTGTGACCAGTTTCCTACCTAAGGAGTCTGTCTCAGGCCAGTCCTACCCACTTTCTCTTGGCCACAAAGAATCACTGGATCCTTGGGGTTGTTAGCCCCAACAACTTCCTCATTCCTTGCCTTGCAGGACCCCATCCTGTTCTCCGGAAGCCTGAGGATGAATCTAGATCCTTTCAACAGCTACTCAGATGAAGAGATTTGGAAGGCCCTGGAGTTGGCACACCTTAAATCCTTTGTAGCTGGCTTGCAGTTTGGATTGTCCCATGAAGTGGCAGAAGCCGGTGACAATCTGAGGTAAGGTCTCATAACCTACCTCCCCAACAGGCAGTGGGGGGAGGTTCCTTGTGCTGGGTAATGTCTGGCATTGTGGAATTTTTACTATACAGATCAAATTCCTAATATATAAAATGAAGTTCATATGAAAAATATATGTGAAAGTGCTTAAAAACTTTTGAGAACCTTTGTTTTCAAATGTGCCCTCATGTGACATTGCATAATGTGAGCTTACAAATGCCACTATTGTGGAGAATCATAGAAAATCAAGATTCTCAACTGAGCTGTGCGTAAGCAGCAGTCTTGACACCTGGTCCGACCCTAAAGTCTGATTTAATTGGTATGAGGCATAGACTGGACATGGAGATGTGAGGATCCCCACAGGCTCTGGAGGGAATTTTTACTAGTGTGAGAACCACAGATCTAAAGGGTGTGCGGATGACAGGGACTTAGTGTCTGCAAAGTCCTTAGGCACTGTTAAAACATCTTAAATCAACACAGACTCGCTGAGCTTTCACAGTTCTTATCTTTCCAATGTATTTGTATACTGTTGACACTTTACTTTGGTTCTTCACAATATGTTTACCTGCCTATTAACATGTGGACCTGGCATTTTTCTCTACAGCAGTTTGGTTTCTCCCTTCACGTTCTGAAGTTGAGCCCTTAGACAAAGCCTGCTGCTCATGGATAGTTCTTGCTCCTGCCTTGGGTGCAGTGAGTAGGCAGGGAATAAACCATTAACAGTTGAAGCTCAGGCAAGAAGGGAGGGCTCAGTAGTTCAAATAATGGGCTGGCAGCTCTGGATTCACCTGGGAGCTTGGTATAAATGTAGACTCTCAGGTTCTAGACCTATTAACTCAATCTGCATTTTAGCAAAATTCCTAGGTGGTCTGTGTGTACACTGCAACTTGAAAAGCTCTGTGCCGGGTACGAGTTCCTAACTAGGTTGCAAGAATCACCCAAAGAGCATAACAAATCTCAGTGCCCAGGCTATCCCCTAGACCAACTGAGCCTGGGACCCAGGTTACTTCATCCAGCGGACACTTGCTGGGCTTGGTAATGAATGCCATTACTTCTGTTTCCCTCAGCAACAGCTCTAGGAACTAGTAGACTTACATAACTCTTTAGGCTGCTGTAAAAGACCATGCAAACTTTCAGTCACAAATACATATTAACACCTAACTATGTGACAGGCAAATGACACAGAAACAACCCTTGGCTTCCTAGCAAGTACAACATAATAAACAAGACAAACCTGTGGGAGTAAATGCCAGTGCCATCAATATTTCAGAGGGGACATGTGGGACATTATGGCAGGATGTAATATTAACAATTCTGGTTTATAGAATAAAAATCACACCATCCTTCTCTTGTCCATGCTGGGAGACCTTAAATGGAGTTTCAGACCTGATTTGGGGGATTGAAACTTAAATATCTCAAAAAAGCAAAACAAAAAACCCCAAATATCTCTGGTGAATGATGGGTAAATCAATGTGGAGAGAGCAGTTGAAAGCCAAAATGGAGCCTCAACATAGCCTGTTACTATGAAGTCCAGTCGACGCAAGCAGGGGTTTGGTACAAGCTAAGCAAATTGTTCTGTGATGCTTCTGATCTTACGTTATAGACAAATACTGGAAGTTTGTCTTGGGTGACTTCTTATTCCTGCAGAAATTTCCTTACAGAAAATTACAGAACTTTAGTTTAGCCACCCCCTGTTTAATATGATCCCTAATGGCCACAGCAGGAAAGAACAATTAGCAAATTCCTGAATATTTCCTTCACATCATTTCCCAAAGCTTCTTTATGTAAGTAAGAGGTCCAGCCTTCATTACAGGCTTTTAGCAAATTAAAGCTATTTGCATTTTACAAGCATATTCGAATTCCACATACATTGCATCTCACACCAAGACACCGTGCTCATTAGATAGCTTTGTCTCTAATCAACGCAGAAGGCCTTAAACAAATAATTAACCTTGAGACTAGAATTACACATTAAAATAATGAATGTATTTACTAAGGCCACAAAGAAATGCCACTGGGGCATTCTAGTACAATGCCACCCTATATTAATGGTGTCAGGTCAAATACTGTTGCAATAAAATTGGTGGCATTCATGTTGTTTTAGAGCTGTTGCCATCACTGTAGCCAAATGCAAAGCACTGTTCCTGGACCAGTGTTCCTAAACTTGTTTAAACATGAAAATTGCCTAAGTGCTTATTAAAAATTCATGTTCCTAGACCGTTCCCCATTCTGCCTGAGCGCAGTGAGGCCTGGAAACATGATTTTTTTATTAAGTACTTGTGGTTATTCTTCTGATTGGGAAAGTTTAAAAAATGTTGCCCACAACAATGATAAATGGGGGTTTGGGAACACGAGTTACGAAAGTCTGATCTGGAGCATGACTCCGTTTCCATCCCAGGTTTCTCCTTGGTCCTTGGGGGCTCACACATGCTTTCTTCTCTTGGTTGCAGCATAGGGCAGAGGCAGCTCCTGTGCCTGGGCAGGGCTCTGCTTCGGAAGTCCAAGATTCTGGTCCTGGATGAGGCCACTGCTGCTGTGGATCTAGAGACAGATCACCTCATTCAGATGACCATCCGAAATGAATTCTCCAACTGCACCGTCATCACCATCGCCCACAGGCTGCATACCATCCTGGATAGCGACAAGTGAGTGAGGGGGCAGAGCCTGATAGGCGCGGCTAAAGCCTGGGTCAACAGAAATACTGTCACAGTAGAAGGGTTAACACCATCAGTTTTCTAGAAATGTTGCCAGAATTATATATCAGGTTAATGAACGCTAACAGGTCAAGAGAACTCTTGAGAGTAAAATAGGAAATTATAGTTATTAAATGAATATGGGGAGGTGGAGGCCCAATCCACAAATGGCAGATGAAGACCATAGACCTTCCACATACGATGAGCCTTAGTAACAGCAGCTGCCTGTTCCTCTCTACTCTGACCCCTTACACTTGAAGCTCAGTAATTTAGAAAACTGTGTAGAGAGGAAGGCTCCCTTTTTAAACCAATCATCCTTAAACCAATACGTACTTTGGAAAAATATTTTATCAGGAACTCGTCCTATGTGTTCTACTATGACTTGCTTCTTCTGTTGGGTGGAGTTTATCCATGTTGAGGCACATAGCTGTGACTCATTCTTTTGCATACTTCGTAGCCACGTAACTGTACTACAACTTAGTCCTGGTAATTCTTCCAAATGCCAACGTTTGAAGTGCTGCTTTCTAAGACTTTTCTTTCTTTCCTCTTTGTTTCAGGATAATGGTTCTGGACAATGGGAAGATTGTGGAGTATGGCAGCCCTGAAGAGCTACTGGCGAACCCTGGCCCTTTTTATTTTATGGCCAAAGAAGCTGGCATTGAGAATGTGACTGACACAGCACTCTAGCAGTTAATCCCACGGGTTAGAGGACTGTAAGGACCATTCCTTACTCACTTTTATTTTGTGTGTGAATATGTCATAGGTGCAAAAGTGTGTATAAAATATACATTTTTTTGAGTTGCCACTCACTGTGTTGCCTGGACTTGGCCTCAAGATTGTTTGGGCTCAAGTGATCCATCCTGCCTCACACTTGTGAGGAAAAATGTACATTTAAAAGAAGAATGATAAGTGAATATCCATGTATCCACTACCCAGGTTAAGAAAACAAATATTACCCCTCAGTTGTCTCACCTTGATCATAACTCCCTGCTCCCAGCATGATCCTGAATTTCATGATAATTATTCCCTTGTCTGTCATTTTAGTTTTACCACCTTTGTATGTATCCTTAAACAATATGTGCCTAATTTCATGTAAATGCACTCATACTGCATGTATTCTCCTACGACTTGATAGTTTTGTTCAAAAATATATTTGCAATTCATCCATGTTGATGCAAATAGTGAAGTTCGTTCATTTTCCCTGCTCTTTTTAGCATAGCATTATATGAACAGACTACAGTTTATCCACTTTAATATTAGTGAGCATTAGGTTATTTCCAGGTTTTTTCTTTCCTGTTATAAGCAATACTGCTTGAACATTCTGGTACACAACTCCTGGGATACATGCGTAAGAGTTTCTCTGGAGTACGATCTAGAAATGGAGGCTGTGCACATATTTCCATGCACATTCTAGGTAATGTCAAACTGTGAATTTTAAACACTTGTCAGTCTGATGAGTATGAATTAGTATTATATTGAGGGTTAGGTGCTTTGCCCTGGTTGCTATTGAAATTGAATACCTTTTCTTGTGCTCCTGGGTCATCTGAATTTCTTACTATGTAGTTTTTAAAATGTATTTGATAGATAGTTCCAATATCTGGATTTTTGCCATCTCTTGTTTCTCTTGGTGTTTTTGTTTTGCTTTTTTGTTTTTGGAGGGACAGGGGTTTGAACTCAAGGCCTGATGCTTGCTAGCAGGCTTTACCACTTGGGCCACATCACCAGCCCTCTGCTGGTTCTTACCCAGGGTGTCTTATATCCTTGTATGTCTTGCAAATTTTTACTGTAAGATTTTCATTCACCTTAGAACTTGATCTGGGAACATTCTTCTTTGAGGCCTGAGTTGAACCTGAGTTCTTCCTAAGGGGAATTTTTGAAGGCTTCTTTCTGCCAGCTAGCTAGGGCATTATCCAGACCTCTTTGGACAGAATTCTCCACTGAGAGTTCAAACCATGCACAGGAGCCAGCTTGTGGCTTGTGAATCTCAAGGGAGAGTCCTCCCCTCAGCATAATGACAGTGTGGACACAGACAAGGGTTTTTGTTGATTTTCACTCCTGCATTTTACAGAGTGTGACTTTTCCTCATTCACCTGGACATTGCACCTGTAGCCTTTTCAAGACTCAGGTTATCAGAGGAGAACTCTATTTTGGTCTCTTTCTTGGCTTTATCTCTTACCTTGGCATCCTGCATTATGAACAAAATGAGAGTTCAAAATCCCCAGGTTCTGGAAGGCAGCCTAAGCTTTGCCCCTGCTTACCTCTTGGGCTTTTTGTGTCATATGTTTGGGGTTCATGGCATTCCTTATTCACATTTCAGTGATGTAAATATGAAGTTTTTTATTTATCTTGCATCTCACTGTTTGTTTAATGAGGTGCACAGAGCCTTACTCTTCCTGAGGAAGGGTATACAGCTAAAGAACCACGCTGCATCTGTTTCGCCCTGATAGGTATGACTGCATCCGTGGTTCCAGCACAACAGCAGCTCTCTCTCCTTTCCCTCTAAAAGTTGTACAGCCCTGTGAATTTTATTTTGAATCACTATGAATGGTGATAAACAAAGTTGTGGAAATATTAAAGTGTGCATTAAGAGGATTATTCAAGGAGAATCAATCTCCTCCCTGATTCTGCTAAGTAGATCTGGTATGTTGTTAATAGTCTACCATTGTTGGCTATTTTTCAAAATGAGCGTTTGTAACATATACCTGCTTACCTATAGCTTCTAAACATTGTGGATTAGTGTCTATTAATCTAAGATTCCACCAATTGTAAAACACATATTGTTTTATGTACCACTAAGAAAAATCACTACCAGTTAAACTCTGGCATGCCTGTTTACAAGATCTTATTTTGAGGAAGTGGAATTTTAGGGTTAATATAATGCAGTACAGTACCTCTTAAGCTCTGTCAGAGCTAAATTGTGTCCTTTATCTCTGCTATTGATCTTTGTTCCTGTTTTTTTTTTCCCAGTATTTGTTGCTCTTTTAATCTAATATTTTCTTCTTCTCCTTTTCCCTGTTCTTTTCCTTCTCCATCTCCTTCTTCTTCTTATCTCCTTCTTCCTCTTCTCCTTTTTTTCTTCCTCTTCCTTTTCTTCCTCCTCCTTCTCCTTCTTTCTTACCTCTCTTCCTCAGCTCAGTTCTTGTTTCACCACCAGGTAACTAACCTTGTTTTTGCCATCCATTCTTGATCACTAGAATTTCAAATAATAGTGCTTCTATTTTCATTTATTTCTTTCGGTGTTTTTTCTTAAGCATGTCCCATGTATATAAACTTTCTAATTTGCTTCTTAAAACAAATTTCTAGACATATAGCAATGGAGAATCAAGAGGAACTTGGGAAAACAGAAGAACAGTTTACACCTGCTGAAAGTTAACTGCAAAAACAGAGAAATACAGCAGCAATAACATGGATGGTGGATGTGGAACCCTGCTACCTTCTCGATTTGTTTCCCAAATGAAGTAGTCCAGGGTGATCTTTGTATCTTTATCACTAGAGAACTTGGAAGGCTAACAACCATCACTATGCAGCATCTACTAAATGTCTTTGTTCAAAAATTTTATAAAGTAATTTAATATAAATAAAATTATTTTATTTATATAAGCACTACATTCCATTGTGGCCTAAATTAATAGTTGGTCTCCAAGTTTTATTTCAGCAGAAATGGGATTTGCAAGTCCCTGATCTTTTGCTCTTTCCACATCCTTCTTCTGGATATGTGGAACCACTTTCAAACCTGGCCTCTAGACTGTGCTTTGAGATGCTCTGGTCGGACTTGCAAATCCTATTTCTGCCTTGCCATCTACTGCTGTTAGTTCTGATAGCAGGAAGTGGTGGAGGGAAACTGGATTAAAGACTGAATGAGGCAGAGACTTGTTCTTCCTCCTTGCTTTGCTTCCATCAGCATCACCCCAGCAATATGTCTGCAGCACTGGTTCATGCAAGCAGCAACAGTGACTTTAGTTTGCAGTTCTTCCAGCTTTCACAGAACCAGTGTCACTGTGTCCCTCATAAACACCTGCACCAGCTGAGCAGCACCCCGTTTTCAGAAGCAACAGAGTGGAAGCAAACTAATTCCACATTGAGACATTGTCACAAACAGGAACAACACATGCACCAATCAGAACCGAAGTTTTTGTAGGCTAATTTTATAAAGTGCTTTTTGAAACACCATCTAAAGAAATATATTCCATGTAGTCAATAGAATGAGAATACCTGTAATCATAATGATCAAGAATTTCTTTGAAAATTAGCAAACAATAGTCTGAAAACATTGATATTTAAAACTGTAAGCTGCTGCCACTTACATTTAGTTAGCAAAAACTGCATACTACTATAAGCATGAGCAGTCTTCCACACAGATTAGACACTGAACTTTTTTAGAAGATTTCATATTGTTTGAAATACCAGAAGGAAAAGATTGTAAAACCATCAAAGGTTCGTAAAAAGCACTCCATTTTTATAGCCTTCCCTTTTATTTTAAATGCGAGTAATTGATTATGCTGTAGATTTTAATTCTTGCAGTAAAAAAAAAAAAAAAGCAACCATTTAGGGAAGAGGAATAAAAGCATGTATGTAAGGGAGCTGGCTTTGGTAGTGCATCCTGTAATCCTAGTCGCTTGGGAGGCAGAGGTAGGAGAATCATGGTCCAAAGGCAACCTGTGACAGAGTGTGAGGCCCTACTTGAAAAATAAACAAAAGTAAAGGGCTAGGGGCATGGCTTAAGTGGTAGAGTGTTGGCCTAGCAAGTGCAAGACCCTGAGTTCAATCCCCAGTACTGCCAAATATATATATAAGGCAGTACTGTTTTTTAGAACATAAAAATAGAGTTTTAAAAAGGAAAGAAAAATACTTTAGGCTAGTTCCATCCTTTGAATTTTGAAAATGCACCAGTGTAGAGTTACTTTTTCATCTCTAACAAGACTTGGTTGTCACATTGGTAATCTCTTGGATGTCCTTTTGGTACTCAGATGGATATCATTACCTATATGGGTTTTATGCCTGATAAAAACCATCACTGACTTCAGATCCATCTCCCCTGTTCCTTGGATTCTGTTGTGAATAACAGGCTCTTATTGGGAACTAAAAGGCTCTGTTGGAGAAGCCAGCTTTGGGACATTTTCTTGCTGCTCAAGCATGTACACACGCATTCTTCTCTGGGAAACGTGTGGTTGGCCAGTACCCCTCAAGAGATTGCTGAGTTGTCCACTGGCTGCACTATTAGCTGTGATCACAGATGTCTCTCCTGATGCCAGTGCTACCTAGCAACCTTTGGCTGGCTGGCTCCTTTGTCAGTACTCATCAGCAAGTAACTTGTAGTCTGCTTTGATGGGGCCTGGTCCTAAAAGTATCTGCCTAGTTGGCATGGCTATTAGTTACAATCTGTAAGCCAATTACAGTTTGCTGGTTACTCATTTTCCTTTATCAAAATGTCTAGTTTTCCTGCATAATTGACTCTAAGGCTAATGGTTGAATAGAATCCTTTTGTTTTAGCTGGACCTACAGTAAGGGTATATAGCTCAAGGGTCAAATTTGCTTCTGTCTTTGTAAATAAAGTTTTCTTGGAACACAGCCCTGCTCCTTTATTTCTGTACTATCTATACCTGCTTTCATGTTACAATGCAGAGTTAAGTCATTATAGATTGCGCGGCCCCCAAAAACTGAAATATGTACTCTCTGTCTCTTTACGG